AAAGGGTTCTTATTGATGGGATGCCATGTAATTCTAGCATGTGAGATTAGTGAATGGGCACGAGGAAAAACCTCTTAGGCAGATGTGTGTTTGTGCTCTGTGTTATCTCACGAAAACAGGTTCAAGATAAAGCTTTAAGCTAATGAGGGTGTAAAAAGGGGCTGCTGCAGCATCTCCCTGCCCTCCCACCTTTCCTGTAGGAACCAACCAGTGTCCAGCCAGGAGCATTACACTGTGCTTTCCACCTCGTCTTGTTTAGATAGCATTAACAAATATAACAATATTAGAATTAACAGTATTACAGTCAAAGATTAACATCGGTGGCTTTCACCAAACTGTACCGCTTGCTTTTCTTTCTCCCTCTCTCTTTTTATTCCCGCTCTCAGTACAAACAGCAGCACACTCTCCTGCACAAAGTGAATGGGGCTCTTATGCTGATCACTTTTTTCATCTGTCGAGTCCTACTCTTCCCTTACCTCTACTACGTCTACGGAAGGTATGTCTTTCTTTCCATCTCTGTTCTGCTGTCTGGCTGAACTCGGGTCAGTGACTTGCACAGCCACTAGAAAGGTTTGTGAGCACACGTTTTACAACCCTGCAATTCTTTTTTTGTCTCCTCCCCGTTTTGGGTCCAGGTACGCATCCATTCCCTTCCACATGGTTCCGCTGACGGTGCCCTGGCACTGTAACCTCGGCGCTGCTCTGCTTATGGCGCCCCAGCTCTACTGGTTCTCCCTCATTTGCAGAGGCGCCCTGCGACTGTTCACGGGCACCTCCCGCTCGCAGAGGCCGCACCCGACCGCCGCCGCCGCTAAGGAGCTCCAGAGGGATGGCAACGCTCTGCCCCAGCCCGCCAACGGCTACAGCACGCTCCCCACAGAGCCCGAGCTGGCCACGCACTGAGAGGAGCGGTGTGGAGGGGAGGCTGGGGGCGGGGGAGGGAAAGAAGGCGAATGTACCAATGAGTATGTAAAGGAAGGAACGCTGCAAGGAGGAAAGCAAGACTTGAAACGAGCTGAGACGGTGGCCTCAGATTGTGCTGAAGTGCTTGTAGCCAGCAAAACAGTTAAACGCTTCAGCGGCTAGCCTTCAAGTACTTCAGCCTCTTAGTTTGTAGGAAACATAAAGGAAGTGTTGGCGCGCTCAGTATTTAAGATGTCTTCGGGCACTGTGACAGACAGGAACATGCACTGACTAGAGAGGAAGTTGCCTGGATGTACAGCAAGCATAGGTGGCCGTTTCCCCTCACGTAGATCAAATTCAGTCCTCTCTGCCTCCTGGAAGAGCAGGAAAATAGGAATGTATTATATTGTATGTTAGTATGTTCGCTGTAGATGGAAGGCCTAATTCAGTTTAGTAATGAAGAAGACCTTCAAAAAAGAAAAAAAAATCCCAGCTAAACAGTATTTTGACTTGTTAGTGTTTATTATCTGTATCCTCTATGTAGTCACTGTCACTCTAACAAAAATGTAACCGACCTGCAGACTGACTCATCTTTAGAACGGAGATAATCTCATACGACTGTATTCTGCTGCCTTATCCCTCCCTCCTGCTCCCCTCCCCCTGATTCTTTGCTGTTTCTTTATGTTTTAGTTTTTTAAAATATTATTATTTTTTACTCTCAAGAAAGAAGGAAGAGGCTTTCCCTCGGACAGAAAAATGTGATGGTTGTACATAGCAGATGTTTTAAAAAAGAAGAAAAAGTCATTCCATGTCAGTATTAGGTCAGTGTTTATTTATTTTCTTAGGCTTTGTCCGACTTCTGCATCCGACATTTTTGACAGTTCGACGTTAAGACGGAAACATTTCACAGTCTTGCAGCTTAGTGAACGCAAACTACCCTCAGATATTTCCACAGTGGTCCTCGTTTCAGTGTAGATAAAGATTGTGTAGATTCCTTTTCATCACTATTATTATTATTATTATTAATTTTTTTTTTACATATAAGATGGTTACTTTTAATTGTTTGGTGTTGTACAACAGCACCAATTACTTTGCAGGAATATTTCACAAAGGGATCTGTGATGTTTGAGTGTTTCTAGCTCTGTCAGGGGGTCTCGTAATGTCAAAGTTTGAAGGGGAACAACAAAGACAAGGAAGCACATTTGTTACTTTTTTTGCTGTTAAGTCTGTGAGTTAAGCCTTTCAGCCCTGTATGAAATGTTCCAATCATTTGAGCCACTGGTTCTATGAACCTTCTTCGAACAAACAAGCTTGTTTTGTATGATTTCATGTTTGTTTTAAGTAGCTACACTTTTCTGGAAATGGGTCAAGGAAACAAAACAGGAAAAAACAAAAAACTCAGACAGCTTAAAAACCATCAAAGACAGGGAAGTGTGTGCCAAAGCATCTGGAGAGCCATGGGCATGTTGAACACAGAATATCCATTCCCCTGTTCCATGACTTCATAAGGTACTGCTTCTTGACAATACTCAAAACATTTCAACTGATGTACTGTATATTCCACGAAATGCTTGTTATTTATTTGTAAGTATTTATTATTTATTTATTTATTTGGTTTGTGGTTTTGAATGCATATTTATGCATACATATTATACTCTATGCTTCTGAGCCTTATGTGAAGGCTGTATTGTTACTCAATCTTAGCTAAAATATACTTCTCTGTCCTGAACCTGTCTCGACTCTTTTTTTTTTTTTTTTAAAGCTTTTAGTACTTTTTAAAATCAGACTGATTGTGTAGCTCCATCACTAGGTAGGAATGAGCCAGTAGAGAGTTCCACAATCAGTGAAGTTGTGTGATTTTGAAATGTTTATTCATTGTCACCACTGCAGCTCTGTACTTACAGCTTTCTTTACCCCCTGAAGGCCTACTCAGAGTAACCCTTGAAGCTGTTTTCTGAACTGAGACGTTTCTTTCATATTTGGGGCCTGTTTATAAAACAAAATGACTGGGTTTGCATCAGAGGTTAGTGAGGGTCAGTGAGGGTAGTCTCTGCCTGTGCAGCTACCCTTGGAAAAAAACAAAACTGTTGTAATCAAATGTCTTATTTTCTCAAATATACAGAGGTATCAAATTATTAATGAGACCACATGAAGCAGATTTATGCATTTTTCTTTAAATTCTACGCCCTAATAACATCTATAATATTAGTCGTTTAGTAGTTTAAATCAAACAGTCCAGATGTAATTGAAGTGCAGACTTGCAGCTTTATTAATGCAAACATTTCGCATTAAAGGTTTTGGAATTGCAACCATTTTTCTACAAACGTCCTCATTTTCAGAGTCTCAGACATAGTTTTGATGTCCAGATGAGGCGTGTTCTCATGTTATTTCATGACAAATGTTTCAAGCAAGAGATGTGGAGCTGATACCAAGTGCTGAAATTGAAATTGGAGACTGTTCAGTGGAACTGGCAATGTGAGCTCCAAAAATGAATGTGTACTAAAATATGGGAAGAGAAAAGTATGAAGAAGATAAGGAACAGCTTAGCATGTCTGCTAATTGAACCTGGTCTCTGGTGTTGATGATGTGACTGCTGACAGGAGTAGAAGGATGATTTGTGAAGTGTGCAGCGCTGTGCTCTGCTCAGATTCAGCTAAATACTCCATAATTGATAGGTGCTAATGAATAATGATCCAAAGCAAACTGCAAAAGCAACCCAAGAGTTTGATTTCAATGCAAAAGAGCATGCTTTGGAGTTTGGTAAGACAAAACTGATGACAAAGAGACAAGCAAGCAACTGAAGGTGGCTGCAGCAGAGGACTTAGAGGGAGGACACGCAGCATTCGGTGATGTCCATGAGTTGTAGACTTCAGGACTTCATTGACTGCAAACAATTTTCATCAAGTACTAAAAATAGTCCTTATGTTTAAAGTTATATTAGTTTGTTCAATTACTTTTGTCAAAGCAAAATATTTGTAGAGCCTCAAAATTAAAGCTAAAAATCGGCACTTCAGTCATATTTTAATTGAAATGAAATGCTTTAAATTTCTTTGTACTTACAACATTAGCCTGCAGAGTTAGCACCTCATATTTATTGTTAGCGCCAAATCACAACAACAATCACCTTAAGGTGCTTTACATTGTAGGGTAAAGACCCTACAATAATAGGACCCCCCTTTTAAGCACTTGGGGACAGTGGGAAGGAAAAACTCCCATCAAACAGGAAGAAACCTCAGGCACAACAAGGCTCGGGAGGGGCAGACATCCACCACAACTGGTTGAGGGTGAGGGGAGGGAAACGGGACAAAGACACAGTGTGGAAGAGAGCCAGATTAATATTAAATGCAGAGAGGTGTATCCACAGAGAGGGTGAAGAACACTCAGTGGGCCCCATGACCCACCCAATCCTCCAGCAGCCTAGGCTTAGTGCAGTGTAACTACAGGATTATTCAATGTCACCTTATATTTATCAAAAAGGAAAGGCTAAAGTCTGATCTTAAAAGTAGAGTGGGTGTCTATCTCCTGAATCCAAACTGGGAGCCGGTTTCCACAGAAGAGGGACCTGAAAGCTGAAGACTCTGCCTCCCATTCTACTTTTTACTGGAAACCACAGTAAGCCCGCAGTCTGAAACTAAAGGGCTCTATTAGGGTGACACAGTACTATAAGGTCTTTAAAGGGCCTGATTATTTAAGAGCTTGTATGTGAGGAGAATTATTTAAAATTTGATTCTGGATTTAAAAAGAAAGCCAGTGAAGAGAAACCAATATGGGAGAAATACCTTTGTCACCAGTTGTTTCATTTAGTATATGAATTCTTGCATTACGGCCAAAAACACAAGTTTCATAAGATCAAAGTGACTCCATCAGTTAAATTACTTTGTAACGCAATCCTCATTAAATAGTGTTTTCAGGTACATTATATTATACCCTGCATAAAACTCAAATCAAAGCAGAGCTACCCACTGTGGCCACCACCTGTGACAAGGGAGCAGACAAAAGTAGCTTTATTATATAATTTAGAATCATAACGATATCATCATATTCATTTAGCCACAGATTGAAATAAACTGTCAGTACGCTCAGAGTACAACAGGTGAGGGACGTCCTCCAGGGTTAAAATTTTTATTGCCATCATACAAAACACATAAAACATACAAAACTTGTTACATTAAAAAAAATTCAAGTTTTTTAGAAAGCCTCAGGGAAATGCTTGGCTTTAGATGCCTTTGGGCAAGTCCTTGTCTCAAAAGAAACCATCAGTATCTCCTCTGTCGTGGTGAGAAGATGGTGTTGGGGTTGCTGTCCCGTTCCCTCTCCTTCTCCCGCTCCCTCTGGCTGTTTGGAGAAAGGGCTTCCTCCAGCTTCTTGTCACTCTTGAAGAGATCTCTTCCTGTGCGCATGATGTGCTCCTCAATCTTGCGGTGGCGCTTCATGTCTGACAATACTTTGTCCAGCCGAGCTTCCCTTTTAACAGAGGAGCGGGCAGAAGATCCTGGGAGACAACAGGCAGAAATCATTATTAAATAAAAGACAAAAAAGTCCAGATTATAAAGAGACAACACAAATAATTGATTGTGACATACCAGGAGTCCTGCGCCGGCTTAGGAAGGCATTTTTTGGAGTCGTTTGCATTTGCTCCTCATCAAAGTCAAACTCAGTTGGAGTTGGAGGCCTGAAAAAACAAAACGAAACATGACCAACCAAAAGCACTCGAACCAAACTCCTTAATCCTGAAATGACCAAAAAGAAAAGCAACACTGACTTGCGTTCCCTCTCCTGCCTCTCCCGTTCCTTGGCTGCCTCCTCCTCTTCGTCTCTTTCGGGCGAAGAGGTCTGTTCAGGCGTGGGGGGCCTTCTAGGAAGGGGCACAAAGTTCAATTCCAGCATATCTCCTTTAGCGAGGAGCTCATAGAGTCTTTTGATCTCTGCGGGAGGAGGCATCCAGTTTTTGGGGTCCTCCATTTCCTCGTCGCTGTACGGAAGCTCCCAGTCACCGTCCGCCTCTTCGGCTTTCTGTTTTCCATCTTCAGCCTCCACCCCTGTGTCTGCCTGAGATTCATCCTGCTCCGCCTCTCCTCCCACTGCATCTGTGTTCCCATCTGAGAAAAAAAACGTACGCAGTCAGTTTAAAATCTCTTTTAAAAACAATAATGAAGCGACATTTTATTGTGGATTAACCCTATACTGGGCTTTGATGTAGCTCCCCGCCTTCAATTTAGAGCTACATGCTTTTGTTCTGATTGGCTGCCCCTCAGAGGGTCTGAACTGCAGGTCCGTGTTGCTGATGTGTGAGGCAACCACATAAGGAATACTGGCTTCCACTGACAGATCCATGTGTAGTTTGTAGGCTGGACTTTTGAAGGGGATTACTTGTACATACACTGACCTCAATATGTGAAGGTTTAGCCATGTTTAATAGGAGCAATCAGCACTGCAAAAAGTACTGTATGTATGACAGAAAGCAATACACATAATAGGTCCAATTTAAACATCTTTCAGACACACTGCTTTGACTTCTCTGTGACAAGCTCTACGTAGGGACGGACTGATATGTCAACAAAACATCAACATCACACCCACTGATGGGCATCGGGGTGCTAATAACAAAACTATTTGAAAATCAGTGGTGACATTTATTGATAGCAGGAGCTAACATTTCTCTCGTGTGTAATATAGTCTCTGCAGCAAGTGATACAAAAGCCAAAAGACTTGAAGTGATCAAGTACATCAGGGCACAGACTTTTCTAATGAAGGCTGGATCAGTTACTGAGCAATAGTGGCTTTACTGAATAGTTTCATAGAAACCATTTTTTAACTTATATATATATATTTTTTTTTAATTAAAAGACCTCCAACTTTCTTAAAGTTCACAATTGGATTGATTCTAATATTAATATTTTGTATTGATTTTTGTTTTCTTTAATAGATGGTTTTTGCATTTTATTGCTGTCTTTTAACTCTGAAAAACAATTTGGATGACTAGGTTTTTTTGTTAAGTGCTCTAGATTGGATAATCTAGGTATAATGACGCAGGGTCACAAAGATACTTGATTTCTGTATTTTAAATATACATTTAAATATACATCCCCCATCATAAATCCAGTTGACTGCAGTCTATATACCAATATAAGCAAATATTACAGTTAAAAACAGAAACATCAGCTTATATCTAGTCCCAGCAGTCTGTTTGCTTTTTCTTTTTAACTTACATACAAAGAACTGGCGCAGGGTGTACCACACTAATGCCAACTCCAGCACCACACCCACACCAGACCCTGGGTGAATAAGCATTTAAGAAAATGGGCGGATATTTGTCCTTGCTGATACTTCAGACTCACACTAGTTACCTGTACAGGACATGCTTGTCCACACTGAAGACTTTTACCCTGATAATGAAACTTCCTGTCTACTGTGCGTCCTTTCACTACACCTGCCCATGCATGTATCTTTACGCGTGTACTGTACCTGTATCCTCCTTGGCTGTTGCGTCGTCCTCCTCTGCCATCTCCGTATCCGGTTGCTTCGTGCTGTCCTCGTCCTCTTTGCCCTCAGCAGCTTCCTCTGAGTCCTTCATGTTCAGAACCTCTATGCCCTCTTTCAGTGAGGTGTCTGTGGCCTCAGCTTGCATGCTTCCTGCTGGTGAAGTTTCTCGCAACAGATCTGCTGAACAGAAGCCTGCCATTTAGATCTAGAAAACATTTTAGTGCAGCTGAAACTAACTTCGGGTATACACAACTGTGTGGGATAAGAGGATTTTTTTAGAGGCTATAACTTTTCGCCGTAGCTGTTTACTTTTGTTAAAGGATAAGTGAACGTACAGTCAACTAAAACAAGCGGCTAGCTAACGTCAGGCCTAACCGCCAGCTATTTCTTAAACAGTAGTTAATCTGCTAATAACATACGTGCCTTAAATCGTCATTAACGGCTTCTTCCGGATCGGTGCTGCTGTGAAAGCGATTAAAACGTTGAGTCAAATACTTTTCCAGTAAAAACTCCCCATGAGAGTCACTAAGTATAACAAACGCTTATGCACAGACGTAAACATTGCGCCATTTTGGCTGTAGGGATCTGCCTGAGCCTCTGCACTGCCGGGGCGGGGGAGCTTCACCTCACCGCTGATACAACGTCATGTGGATAATCCATACTCACTGCGAGCGGACACTCCAGCAGTAGAGGGGAATGGTTTGGAGATCTACGCTCGACGCGACTTCCTGCACACTGCGCAAGCGCGAGCAGGTCTCCGGGCGGACAGAGCGAAATTTGTATTAGCTTCCTTTGCTTTTCTGTTCATGTTGTTCTTGTTGTTTTTAAAACGTACGTATATGTACGTTTGTGTAGCGTAAACCTGACAAATGTAATCAGAAAAGCCACAAATCACATTAATATGGACGCATGACGTAAAACAGGCGCCAGTATTTGTGCGAGTTCTGATTGGTTCAAAAAAATAAAATTCTGATTGGTTTACGGCCGCTTCCGGTTTCTGCGCTCTGCATTTGAAAAAGTGTTCGGTTAGTCGCTCAAGTTTTTAAGGGACGCGGTCGCCATTGTTAAAACCAAGCGTCCGAAATGTTGCTGGAAGGAAAATTTAGGGCATAACAAAGGTGTGGCTTGTCTCAGACATTCTCAAATAATATCGGTAAGCATATAGCAGGCTTTGGCTTTGTGACTATTATTAGCCAGTCGAGAAGCATCCGTTCTTTGGAGAAGTTATGACTGAGCTATCCAGCTTTAGCTTGTTATTAGCCGAGAGAGGCTTTCGTCAGTAAGGAAACACAGCTTATCAGGAGAGGTTTCATTTGAATGCCATGCGTTTTAATGCAGTGCTGTTATACACAAACTGTCATTTTCAAGCACGTTCGTGGCTAACTAGTTAGTTTATTATTAAACTTTATTCGGGCCTTTCTTTTTGGAAGCGCAATAATGGCGACGCGTGTGGCGGTATCAGATGGAGGAAACAAGAAGACATCCAGGGTCCGCGTAGCTGTTCGTCTGCGACCGTATATGAACAAAGAAGATGAGAAAAGCGAGGGACCGTGTGTAAGAGGCCTGGACTCTCAAAACCTGGAGATAATCAACTGGAGGAACGCCACAGAAACTGTTAAATACCAGTCAGTGCCTTCCTAATAATCTGTTATGTATATATGCATATCGGTAAAGATTTCAGTGATTGTCTAGCTTTAAATATTAAGAGAGCTGTGGTTGTTGTTATTGTTTTAGCTTCGACGTTTTTCATGGTGAACAAACGACGCAGCAAGAAGTTTTCCTCTCATCAGTGAAGCCCATTCTGCCGCACATCTTGAACGGACAGAATGCCAGTGTGTTTGCTTATGGGCCAACAGGAGCTGGTATGTTGAAGCACAGTCTACAGGGTTTCAAGAAACGTGTATATTAGCTGTGCACATGCATTAATAAATTAAGCTGTTAAGACTTGTGAGAGGTCACAATGATTTTGTTTATAGATATTTTGGCTCCCCAAAGACACCCTTTTCTAACTCTAGGCTTTTGCATCCTCTTTCACAGGTAAGACCCACACCATGCTGGGGAGTTCAGAGCAGCCAGGTGTGATTCCCCGAGCTGTTCGTGAGGTCTTCAAGCTGGTGAAAGCCAAGGATGCGAGTGATGGATGGGACTATAGCATTGGCATGTCGTATTTGGAAATTTACAATGAGAAGGTATGAATGGTTTAAGTAGAAAGAGCGTGCGGTTATTTCTGGCTTTCTGTTCATGATTAAGCAAAGTAAAGCAGCTGGTGGTCATTCAAGTTGAGGTGTTAGAAAACATTGTCTTTGCTCTTAAGAAGTGTGTTTCTGCATTTTATAGCATTATAGAGAGCTGGGGGGATTTGTGGTGGTTGTGTTCCTTTTTTTTTTTTTTCTTTTCTAGATTTAAATGGATCAAATGAACCTTTGGTACTTACTTGTTCCAAAGGTTGTAAAATTGTTTCAAATGTCTCTAAACAGCTCAGGTATTGAATCTTGGTTACCTTAATTGACAGAACTCTATGAAATTCCCTGTTATGTCACCTTAGGAAGCGAAACTCTGTTGTATAAAACAGAAAATCATTATAGTGTGGTCAATCTTTTTTTCAGCCCTGATTAAAACCCTGTATTGAAAATAAAATTGCCTTTATGTTCATTTTAAAAGTGGAAATATTTCCGTTTCCAATGGACACTTCTCTAGAAATGTTATTAATACCCTTAGAAGATTTTATGTTGACCAAAAGCTGACTCCCTTAATTCTGCAAATTTAAGCCAACAGTATTATTATGCAGATGGTGTATTCCAAATTAAGATGTTTTGGCACGTGCAGGGTAGCCTTGGCCCCACCCAGCAGAGCTGTATGTGAGAATGCAGATATCTGATGCAGTCGGATAGGATGTTAGCCAGCCTTCAACCTGCCAGCTCTCTAATAAAAACTCAGTGCATTGTCAGATTGGACAGCTCTTACCTGCTGTATTCATGCAGTTCCCTTTTGTAGACACCATCATACATCATACACATGTCGTAGTATGAAGCCTTTTGAAGCAGATTTATTTCCTGTTGCGCTACCTGTCAAAATGAACAAATGTGGAAAATATTTGAATCGGTTGACTTAAAATTTCATGTGTGAAAACATTTTCAGCCTACCCTTTCAGTTTCAGGTCACTGGACCTCAGCATGATTTAATAAAACAAGGGGGCGCGCACAGCTTTTTAGCCTCCAGTCTTCTTGAATTTACTGAAAAACCTTCTAACTACATTTTCCACTGCATGGCCTCTGACCTTCTAAATGTACCTTTTTTCTTTTAGTGTGCATCATTCATCAATTACCGCTTTCTTATTCTTGTTGTTCTGGTCCTTTCTCAGGTGCTTGATCTTCTGTCGCCAAACTCCCAGGATTTACCCATCAGAGAGGACAAAGACAAGAACATCCTTATCCCTGGCCTGACACACATGAACATTAGCAAATTCGCAGATTTTGACAAACACTTTGTCCCGGCGACGCTCAACCGTACTACAGCTTCTACTAAGCTAAACCAGCGTTCCAGCCGCAGCCACGCTATCCTTCTCATTAAGGTTTGATGATCTTGGTGTAGTTTATTGAACTGTTTTATTTGTTAGTGTCAAATGGACAGCCAGACAGCATCTTAAGCAGGTCGTGGTCTCTGAGCAGTAGGCCAGGATTTGGTAGCTGGTGCTGAAATCAATTCTCTCTTGCAACAGTCCCACTAGCAACTTCTGTGCTTCCTGGGATTACTATGGGAGAGAAACACAAACCATTATCTGCTGTCCTTTTTCTTCATTTATTCTTTGTTTTTTCCCTTTGTTGTCATGTTTTCATAAAATGTAATCCTCTAATTTTTTTTTTCTCCTTTCACCCCATGACTCTTCACCACCTCCTCGTTTTTCCTGCCTGACTTCTGTGTCACTGCTGCTTTTCCATTCTTAATCTCTGCAATGATACAGGTTGTACGGACTCAGCAGCAACTTCCCCACAGACAACAGACAGGCAAACTGTACTTGGTCGATTTGGCTGGCTCAGAGGACAACCGCCGCACCGGCAACCAGGGCATCCGCCTGAAGGAGAGTGGTGCCATCAACCTGTCTCTCTTCACACTCAGCAAAGTTGTTGACTCTCTAAACTCGGGCACTTTGGTGCGCGTGCCGTACAGGGACAGTAAACTAACACGGCTTCTGCAGGACTCTCTGGGGGGCTCGGCACACTCCGTCATGATCACCAATATTGCACCAGAGTACAAATATTATTTTGACACCTTCAGTGCACTCAACTTTGCGGCCAAATCCAAGCTCATTGTGAACAAGCCCTTCACCTGCGAAACTGTGGCTGTGCTGCCAGGTGAGAAAAGCACTCACTTTTTTCAGTTAGGGGCCACTAGAGTATAAAAAGGCATTTTATTGGGAAACAGGAAGAGCCAAAGGCCAACAGGGGGCACCCATGTCACATCCGAGAGGATGGTGACTAACAGTAAACGGCTGTCTCTGGGTCAGATGGATGTTTGTCTTTTTTGTTTTTTGTAAAACTGGTGCTCCACTTGCATTTTTGCCGTTCTGATGTTGTCTTTCCTACTGCACTCTCTCAAAGATGTTCATCATGTTTACCTGCTGCGGCTGGCTTTAATTCAAGCACTGCAATGCAGCTTTGACTGATGCTGTGCCATTTTTGTCTGAGTTGCTTTACACTCTAGAGAGCCCCCACTGACACCGTTGCTACACTGCACTGAATACTAAACTGTTAATTTTCCATCTGCCGTCGTCTCCAGTGAAGCGGTCCAGAGAGGAACGAGAGACAGGGGGGTCTGGCACTGAGCCACAGAAGAAGAAGCATAAAGAGGAGAAGAAATCCGAACACGATGCCTCACCCTCTACACGTAACCACAGGTTATAGACCACACAGACTGATTATTTGTTTGGTTTGTATTATGATGTCTGACTGACGTGAAAGGCTTTGTGACGGAGAAAGATGCTGTTGTGTGTAGGTCTGTCTGGAATCCTGTAAACATGACTTTTTGATACCTGACTTGTTTCAAATCGTACTGTCTGCCCTGTTTTTCAGCCTTTTTGTCTAATAGGATTTGTTTGTCTGCCCCTTTAGTTCATCAGACCAGTCACTGATGGATAGACTAATAGCTTTGGAGAAGAGAACGATGAGCTCCCAGGACAAAGAGAGACTGGCCATGCTTAAAGAGATCAAGGTGAAAATGCACACCTAGTCTGTCCACATGGCTGACTTGAAGAATGCTCTGTTTAGTTTAGAGTTGCTCTAAGCAGTGGTATCGAGAGGACAGTGAGACAGCATCTTAAGCAGGTCGTGGTCTCTGAGCAGTAGGCCAGGATTTGGTAGCTGGTGCTGAAACTAATTCTCTCTTGCAACAGTCCCACTAGCAACACCTGGGCTTTGTGGGATTACTATGGGAGAGATACAAATCATCATCTGCTGTCCCTTTTTATAAATTGACATCTTCATGCATGCATACATGGAAATATCAAGTTGGAAAGGCTGTAACGTTGGCCCCCCTTTTCTGCCCAGTCAATATTTAATTGCTGTACTTGGTCTCTTTTGTTATGCTTCTTTGTTTTTGTTGTTGTTGTTGTTTTGTGCAGGAGCTCAAAGAGAAGCAGAGGGAGCTTGAGAGCAAGGCCATGCTATTCAGTCAGTTGGCTGGAGAAAAGTCGATTACAGGACAAGAGCCCGACTTCGAGAACAAGACAACTGCCCTGCGGAGAAAACAGTCAGATGCCACAAAACCCAATAAACAGCAGGCTGTGGTCCAACCGCTGCAAGGTCTGTTAGAAATCCTAGAGCAGATGATCGTACTGTAACTAAGTGAATTTCCATAGATTGTTTGCCTCATGAAGAAATGACTACAGTGTTAAAGACTATAGAGGTATCACACACTGCTGACCTTGACTGAGGACTCACTAAATTCTTTATTTGAGTGCTTCACTAAAGATTAGTGACTCGCTAATACTGTCATGTTGATTCACTGCGGCTATTGATGGGCTGCAATGTGATGCAAAAGCTCAATCTACAATACTGGAGCCAGAGAAGGTATCAAATGATGATGAGAGAGAATTATTTTTACAACCCTCAGCAACACTGAGAGAGCCAGAGAACTTTTCTTAGTGCCTCCTACATGCATTTTTCTTTAAAATGGTTCAAGTGATAAAAATTTGACTTTCATTTTAAAATGCAGTTGTTGGTTTGTTTTTTTTATATGCAATAAGAATATTTGTCTTAGATCCTGTCCTAATGCAATGTCTTCCTGTTTCCTGCCCCTCAGTGTCCCAGCGCCAGCCCCTTCAGCAGCTTCTTGTGGTCAAAAAGCAGTCTGTATGCATCAAGAAGAAAGAGGAGACGTGTTCAGACCTGATTGAGGTCAGCAACCGAGCCTTGACTGTGCTGTGCTTAACTTGACACATCTGCAGAGTTGCAAGCATCAGATACAAGCTGACAACGTGCATTAGCTTCAGTGTGTTTATCTGACTCGACAGATGCAGAAAGGGTCTCAAATTTGTTTGGTTAAAATTGCCTTCCTCTCCCAACCAGTGGAGAGACGTTCAGATTTAAAGTAGATTGCTTGTGTTGTCTGATAGCAAAAATGTTTTAACGGCTTGGTTGTATATCTGTGCATTTATATTTCTTTTCTTGTCCTATCAGTCACCAGGTGGTAAAGAGAACAACACAAAGAGTGCTTGGGAGTCCCAGCTTGACCAGTCGATGGTGGATCAGTCCAAGCAGAAAATCCTGCAAATTCTGAACACAGGCTGCCTCAAAGAGCTGAAAAGTCTGCAGCAGATCGGTGACAAGAAGGCGAAGCTCATTCTGGGCTGGAGGGAGATCCACGGTCACTTCGCAAAGGTTGGAAAACAAACCTTATTTACTGTGGCTTCTATAATATAAATGCATGCACAGACTATATGATTGCTATTCTGCAGGTGGAAGACCTGATACAAGTTGAGGGGATGACGGAAAAGAGATTTTCCTCCTTCATGAAGGTAAGCTAGGTTCTTGCTGTCATTGTAAGTGGTTATCTTCTGCCACTCTGCTTTTTGGTGGGTTGCTTCAGGTTCTTAGAAGCACCTCTAAAACCCTCCAAAATAAAAGCATTCCCATTAGCTGATTTTGAGGTAGCAGGGGTTGACAAACCTGCTAAAACTTGAGTATGATCCCTTTTAGCTTAGCAGCAGACGCTTTGATTGTAGTAATAAAGTATTACTGACAGTAAGGCTATGCAACTAATGGAGTTTTACTGTGCTTTACAATTCTGTCCTCATCAATTATTAAAATGGGATAATTTAGATGGCGATTATTGTACTGCATTCTGTTTCAGTGATTTTGCTTTAATTTTGCACACTCCCTGTGGCGAGCTAGGTTCAATGCCAACTTCATTAGACTTTATTAATGTGTTAAACATTAAATAAAAATCAGGTTTGGTTACAAAACCTGCTCCTAATATTAACCAAAATAAATATAATCCTTCCATAACTGAGCATCTGATTGATATTCTGCTTCTCTTGGTTTGTATTCATTGTTCTTTTCTTCTATTTGCAGGCAAACATCGTGAGTGCCATGGGGAAATGATTTTTTTCTTCTTTTTTAATACAAGTCATGTACATACTTTACTTTTTATCTGAAGCCACCCATATTTTTTTTTTTTTTTTTTTTTTTTTTTTTTAAATGCTTGTTGTCATCGTGTTTATGTAATGTCTGCTGTGTCCAGCTGGTGGCGTGTCCTTTTTTAATAAACCTCCCATATCACGTTATTGGATGCTTGTGTATTTATTTGACGTCGGTAAATAAATGTTATGGTCACCTTCGCCTGAGCTCCAGTGTCTCCTACCCTGATCTATGCGAGCTGACGCTCCACCGCCGTATCACGGTTTCTTTGTGTGAACACATAATTAGGCTAATTAGCATCGCACAGACAGCAGGTCACAGTTTAACACCGGCGGTAGGTGGATGCTATAAACCACCGCCCCCTACAGCACATCTCACACACACACCTTTTCTCTTCCTCGCGCAGCACGTACTCTGGTTGATTTCACTTTTCGTTACACGCACACACACCCCTCCTCTCTGAACCACCCTGATATCCAGGAGACTCCATCCATCCCAGCTCACTGCGCTGGCGCAAGGCTACACCAGCCCCACCGCTTTCTGTTTTTTCCCTCCCTCAGCTTTCACTGGACATAAATCATATGATCGGGCTTTTAAACGGAGCACGTCTAGAAACCATCTGCGCTCTGGAGATGTTTGGTCACCTCTGACAGGTTTGTGTTTTTTCCCACCTGGGAGTGAGGTTACCACGATGCACAATCCAGCGACGTGATGACGACGAGGCAAGCGCTGGATTAAAAAAGAAAGGGACGGAAACAAAGGTCAGTTTGATTACAGTTTTCCCTTTGATGGATTGATGGGTGCGAGATACACAAATGGCTGTTTATGTATTCCAGTCATTTCCTGTGAATCCAGTGCATGTGTTTTTCCTGCTTATCGGTGCAGTTTAGCAGCGCACATCCACTGAATCCAACCCATCAGCGGCAGGCTAATTAACGAGCAGCCTCCCTCCCTCCCTGTTGGCCTCTATCCGAGTTTTCTCCCCCCCCCTTTGTCCTCAGCCTTTTTACCGCTGTGTCCTCTAGCTATTGTTCTGCGTCCGGCAAAACCGGCCACCATATGTCGGTGAGCGGTTGTGTACACACGGTGAAATAAAGCTATGTACACACCTGCACGGAGACCGAGGCAGGAAAGCCGTCTCCATCTGCCATACCTGTTTTTTTTCCGCTCCTCCTTTTTGTTGACCTGCTTTTTGTTACCTGAGAAAGCGAGTCTTGGAGGCCTATTTACAGTTCGCTGTGTTTTGCTCATCCATCCCTCAGCAGCTGTGAGCAGTGATCAAACGTGAGATGTCATCTGACGTTCAAAAGGGGATTATAAAGAGGCTTATGGGTGATATTGAGCCCACATCCACTCTGAAATCTGCTGAAACGGGATGTGTTTATGGGCTGTATGAAAACTGCTAGTTAGAAATCCCCTGCCAGCCATATAAATATTTCATTTCAGGGAGGCAGCGCTGCTCCCCAGCATCTGCAAACTGATTCAAACAAGTAGAGTTTTACTAAATAAACTGTAGGCAAACAACCCAACCATGAAGGCACCGTTTAATCACTTTTAGGTCATTTGTGGCTCATTTCATACTATGCCCTACTTTCCTATAGCTGCTTTCTGTTGGGTTGAGACTGTGACCAAGAACTCAACATCTATAGACTTGCTATTATTTTGCTGTCCTCCAATAGCAAAAATTGGTCTAAATATTTGATTAAAAAATAGTTTAAATAGAAGAAAAGATTTATCTCTGGCTCCATCTGTCTGCCCTCTTCCCCACTTCAGTGATTTTTGCACAATCCCTAAGCAGATGGTAAGGAACAGTTTTTGTTTATGAATGTGTTTAAAACCACTTTCTGGCCCCAGGTGTAACTACAGACGTGCAGGACCGGACCACGAACACGGGCTTCTCTTTCTGTCAGCATGGCTGTGAACATGATGCCCGCCCCCGGCCTTTGGCCTGTGGAAGAACAACCATCGCTTCTGGACCAAGACGGCTCCCTGTCGAGCCAGGCCCCTGTCTCTGAGCTGTGCCTGCCAGTCAGAGGCGAAGAGCTCATCCACAGCTGCAGCAGCAGCCCGGCTGGCACCAGGCCCACCCGCAGCAAATCCAAAGGAGAGCTCGTCATAGTCATCAACGAGAAGCTGAAGAACGGTGAGTGACTTGAGTTTGACCTCATAGCGAGGCAGCGGGTGGGGAGGGAGGCAGGGTCGGGCAGCTGCTTAGTCAGCTCGCTGGGGGAAAGTCAAATTCCTGCGCGTGGATGAACTCCCGGGAGAGCACGGGAGGCGTGCGAGCACTGGCGTTTTACCTCTTTGTCCTCTTCATCCTTCACACGCAGGTAACGGGATCCACTCAGTGTCCGAGGAGAAGAGCACCTCTCCAGTCGTCTCCTCTCCTCCCAGAAGGCAGCACTCCATCTCTTACCCTCATCACGGCAAGACCAGGAAGGGGAGCAGGGCGAGCTCCATCGGCTACACAGCCTTCTCGCCCAGGCCGTCGCTTTCTCGCCACTCCAGCATCGCCACCAACCCACCATTGGACCGCTCCAAAGTCAAAGACTACCTCCTCCTCTCCGTGCTGGCCTGCTTCTGCCCAGTCTGGCCCATCAACATTGTTGGATTTGTCTACTCCATCATGGTGAGAGCAGGATTTGTGTGTGTGTGTTTGGTTTTTGGAGTTTATTCTTTTTAATCACGCTGATGCTAACAGACGCTTTGGTCTTCTCCCTCAGTCCAAGAACAGTCTGGAGCAGGGAAATCTGGACGGCGCCGTGCGTCTGGGACGCGTGGCCAAGATGCTCTCCATGGTCTCACTAGTAGGAGGGACGATCATTATCATCGCCTGCATTGTCAACCTGGCCAGTGAGTGTCCCAAATCTGACCTTTAAACCCCCCCTAACCTCTCCTTTTTAACCTCCTGTGTTGCTGAGCCGCTTCTTTCCTGCGAACTCTCGTCTCGTCTCGTGAATTACTGAAGGATGTGTCGCAGCTTCCACAACCTGCTGTTGTCACCGTTTATCCCATCATACTAGCATAATATATTCAGCTCTGTTGGCACAGTCTGACCTTAATCACTGATATTATTACTATCTGTGTTTGCACAGTAGAGCGCTAGCCCCAACGCCTGCACGTGGCTTTGTACACTGCAGCACTTTAGCCTTTAGAAACCATGTCGCCGCTGCACAGAGATCAGAACATATTAAGCCCTCCCGAAGCAGACGCAGATCTACATTTTCTGACATGTTCCTCCATGTTTGCACGGGTGGCCTACAGCTGTAACCGACCGCATGCCTCGGTTTTGCCGTGTGTGTATCTGTAGAGTGACGTGTGTAGTCCACTGTCTTGTTTTCACGCCTTGCCCTCTCTGCTTGTACAAAATGTGAAGCCTTGTTGATTCTGTACCACATGTATAACCACTGTATGCCCAGCTCGTGAGCTGCTGACCGGCTCGGGAGCTGGACAAATGTGCTTTTTATTGTACGTTTGCAAATAAAAAGGATTCTGATAACAGATCAGTGATTATTTCAGTGACTCGCAAAGAAAGGGACCAGCCTCTGTCTTATTTTTTGTTTTGCTGTTCTTCTACATTTAGACACGTGCAGTTTAGTCATTCTCAATCATGCCTTTTCACTTCAGATTACACTTATTTCTGCTTTATTTCTGAGCGTGCCCATTTGCAGCCTTGTGGGTCTTATTAAGCCAAGAGATGTGCTAATTAGCTCAATGACTGGAAGAACAACTGTAGACTCAACTTCAACTTGAGTTGAAGAGCGCTGGGATTTGGCAATCTTTGTTTTTTCTTCTTCTCTCATTATGTAACTGTCCTCTGTGGTCTGTGAAAGTTTATACATCCATATGAAGTTGCAGAATATAAAGCTCTGACTAATACGCTTCCTTTTCTTTTTTTAGTAAATGTGAAACCCTGAGTTTCATCCCAGGATGAAACCGGATAAGGCAACAGACCGTCTGGCCCCGCACCTGCACCACCATCTTTACCTGCCTAGTCATTACCTGGATGTGTGACAAATGTGCCCCACACCCCCTTGCCCCCCACCTCCCCGCGATATACAGCGCTTACTTATATTTCTGTAATCGATATAAATCCCCCTCCTGCCCCCCTGTTTTCTTTTCTTTTCTTCTTTGCTAATGGAAGAGAATAAAATATGCAAATGCTGCTACTCTAAATCTGGGGAGGGTGTGAGGGGAGGGGTCCATGGGACGTTAGATTGGAGAGAAGGGAACAGACAGACTTTAATCAGTCCCTTCGTATTCCGGCCAACACGTTTGGAATGATTTCCAACACAGAGACACTCGAACTCTTGAAGAGATCTCATCACAAGCCTCCAAACTGGTGGACTAGAGCGCAGCGGAGGGATCGCCTCTCAACTTCCCAACAAAAAATGACCTCTCTGGTTAAATCCCCCTCAAACGCACAGAGAGGCTCCGGGATTTTGTGTTGCGCACATGAACTCACACGCGCAGCAGAGAGGAAACCCTTTGAATCCCAGTTATGTCCTCTTGTTTCAGACTGTCTCTTGCTCCGTGGCTCAAAATGACTCCATGATATCTTGTGTTTGAGCGTACGGGCCGACTAAAAGGAGGATGAAAGCGGGGCTTACCAAGCCGTGGGTGCTAAAACGGAAAAGGGGATTACGGAGGCACAGTCGACACAGCGAGGAGGAAATATGTGCCAAATAAAAGAATTTAGAGCAAGGGGATAAAAAAAAAAGTTTCTTGCTTTGCAAAGACCTCACTTCTCACCAGTTGATGTGGAGGGAAGCATCGAGATGTGCTTTTGCTCTGTGCAACTATACTGTGTATCTGCTCGACACCTGCAACCACTGTGAGCTGGAGAAAGGAGGGAAAAAGTCACGCTGTAGTGATTAAAGCTTAAACAAAACAAAACACACAGACTTTACAGGGAAGTCAGTGATGCCGCACCATCTGTCTTTTGATAATCTTTGTAAGGGATTGATTTTGAAACTCTGGAAGTGCTGCGCCGCAGCGGAGCGGCAGCTGTAAGGCAGTGCGGGCATCACTATTTGGTTAACAAATTAAATAGCTTGTGATTGTTTAGTCAAAGATGCGGCTGTAGCCTCAGGTAGCCCGAGCTTTGAAAGCAGACAGATTGTTCTTATATTATACTTAAAAAAAAAGAAAAAGAAAAAAAATACCCTCCGTAGTTGAGTCCCACCTGGATGAGTCAGCACCTTTTCGTTGTAGGTGTTTGTGAAACACTAGATCAGACATGGGTGGGGGCTCTGAAGTAGCAGTGTCGTAGCATTTTAGTGTGAAGAACATCATTTTAAAAGCCGGGTTTGTTATCGTTGTTCTAATATCTCCTGTGTATCCTTCGCTAACCTCTAATCTTTATCTACTTGTGGTTTTCACTGTGATTTAATCGATAAAGTGATTAAAAACTTTATTTTGCTGTGTCCCAGATTTTCCAATGCCGCGACTTCAAGGGTCTCATCATGAGTTCTGGCCCTGCAGATAGTTTTCTGTCGAGACAACTGCGGCATATATATACACCCCATCCCCACCCCCCTTTGTTAACAATGTAAATTTACTGATTGTAATCTACAGTTGATGTACTCTGCAGATATTGTGCTAATCCTCCAGTGGATATGAGTTACCTTTACGTAATTAAGATCTGATGTAGGCGCTGAAGCTGTTGGATACCCTCCAGACAGCCACTGTATTCCCACCAGGCTTCTATGATCTTTGTGGTTATTGGCATGTTCTGTTTTCTTTTTGTTTATTTATTTATTTTTTGTAATGTATGATGATGGAAGTTTCAAATTGCAAAGATAAGCTGACACTTGGAATATTATACTTCTGCAGCACATTTATAATAAAGACACAATGCATGTGACCTGTTTTCAGTGTTGCTTTGGAGGGATAAACAGCATCGGCGGCTGTGCAGAATAAAGGCGGCGTCAAAAGTGAGTGAAAGGAGAGCTAAGCCGTTAAGGAGAGACTGTGTTTTTGCATCAGTGGAGTTAAAAAAAAAGGGGAAAGGAGTGTAGTTGGGGTGGAGGGTGGGGGAAGCGTTGGTGTAGTCCTCAGTGCCGTGATGGCGTGTAAGCTGCTGGGATGGAGAGCGCCTGCTGTTGTCAGGCAGCAGAGTGCAAAGACAGCAGGAAGAGCAAAATGCTGAAGGCAGAGGCCTCGAGCCAGAAGGAAACACTGCACTGCATGACCGCCAGTAGAGCGAACATAAGCCTCAGATGACTTCAATGAAATCAAAGCAAAAAATTTCCTTCATTATTTCCTCCTGAGGTTTGTTTTTTTAACACTCTTTAAGAAGTGGTTACTAGCTTTCTTCTTCAAAAATCATTCATGAACAAGAACAGCAACTGGGCCAGTGTCTTGAAATATTAAGACAGTATGCTGCTCTTTTTTACCTCCAGACTTTTGGTTCTCACTCTGCTGGATTAGCTTTGCATGACTCAGAGTTCAGGCACTGCTCTGCTTTCAGCTGCTCTCACTTTAAGGGCCACCCTTCCCTCATGTCAAGTTTCTTCTGATGGACTGCCCCGTGCAAACAGAGGCAGCTGGATGGTGCTGCTGTGCTCAGAGACAGAGTTGTGTGCCTGAGATGAATGTATTGAGGATATCTGCTCTCTGTGTAGCAGGGTGGTAATGACTTGTCGGACTAAATCGAGTCTAGAGGAGCCTGAAGTCTGAGCTTTTGGCTCGCGGGGATTGCTTACGCATTCGCTGATCTCATTATGTGAAACTTTGGCCATATTTAATATGAGCATCCAAAAGAAGGAATTGCTTTATAGCTCCTCTTCTGTAACACAGTCCAATTTTAGGGTGAAGTGCAGTTCAAAAGTCTTGAGACATCCTTAATTTATTTATATGTTGGTAGAAAAATGGGAACTAGGCGTAGCAATTCATAGAAACATGCACACATGAATGAAAATACAGTATATAAATATAAATACAGTACAAAACAAATAGTCTATGATTCTAACAAGCTTGAAAGTGAATATTTGGTAATGACAGCCTTTATTCTTCAACACAGTCTGAACTCTCTTAGCTAAGCTTTGTTATCATTTCTTTAAGTCATCTTCAGGAATAGTTCTCCAGGCTTCTTGAAGGACATTCAAAGCTCTTCTTTGGATGTTGGCTGTCTTTTGCTCTGTTGAAGTCCAGGCTCATCCAGGTATGCTTTTACTGCATTGGAAGTGTGTTTAATGATCATTGTTATGCTTAAAAACGAAGCTTTTGCCAATCTTATTATACAAAATACAAGGCAAGCTCACCAACAACACTGGCTGAAATGTAGCTCCAAACCAAGGCAGAACCTCCACCATGTTTTACGGAGGACTGTAGACACGTCATGTTGTACCTCTTTCCTGACCTCTCTAAGCAATACTGACTTGTCCGTGATTTCCAGTGCAATTCTTGTACACTCGGGTATACTTCAGCCTTTTCTCCCCGTTTCCCTTCCATAAGAAAGGCTTATTGACAGCCACTCTTCCACTGAGATCTGATGAAGCTTCATTACACAGTATATGGATCAACTAAAGGGCAAGATGCATCTCTCAGGTCCTGTATCAAGTATTTGCTCTTGGTACGGGACCTACATACAACATACAAGAGAATTAGGATTTTTCCCTTAAGAACATGACTTTCAGATACTGTTCATCTGCTGTAGACAGTTTTATAGACAGGCCAGGGCTGTCTGTAGACAGCTGCTGCTCCTTCTTTTGTCCTCCTCTTGTCCAGTTTCCTCAAGTTTTTTAAGGACACACTGTACACACTGCTGACATTTGCCAGGTTTTCAGCCAACAGCTCCTTGGAATCACCTTGTTGGGGCAAAAAGTTTAATTTTATTTTTGTGAAATCGTGTTAACCTTGGCATTTTTCATAGATTCAGCCAATGAAGTTGGAACAAACAATGTGTTTTTGTGACAAGCTTTTTAAAACGGGTTCTTCTAATTTGTCTGTTATGTGTAGACACAACACTGGTTCATCCCTTGAGTAAGCCTCCTTTATTATTCCTGACTGATTAATAGGTCAGCATTAAGCGTTTAACTGACATTTCTAATTGCATTAAGTCATTTGGTAAGGAGTGAGACTTTAAAGTCAGAAAAACACCCCCAAAGCTCTCAGTGCTGCTGAGTACATTTATACTGGTTAGAAATGTAGCAGGTGCTAGCATGGTAACAACTGGTAAATAAATTAGCACTAAACATTTACTTGAAACCAGTGGTGATGTCATCAGTTTAAACCAAAATTCCCTGCATTTATTTTCCCATCTTACTAATCTGGAACATGAGCTGCTTTAGAGAAAAAGTTCTGACAGCCACAGTGTCCTGCTGTGTGCTGCAGGTCACTGAACAAATTGTGCTTCAGTTCTGGTGAGTGAAATTATTTTATCTTAGTCTGTTACTTACTGTAGCACCAATTAAATTAGCACCGGTTAGCCGATCTGCGTGGCTATGCGTTGCATTTGAAACTCTTTAAAGAGTCCAAAGAAAAATGCTGATGTGTTTCATTGATATACTGCAGCAGTATTCCTTCATAATTTTGTAAAAAATCATCAGGATCAACCAATAAATCCAGGTGTAGTACAGAATGTAGTACCCTAACAGTTTGATTGGTGTAACATCTCCAAAGATTTGTGTCCCACCCACTAATTTGAAAGTAATCCACGCACAAAACACTAAAACCTACATTTGTTGTGTGAATTATATATAAAAATATAAACACAGATGTTGCAAAAGTGGTTTCAAAATATTATTTTAAAATACAAAATCGCTCTTCTGGCATTTTTCTACTTTTTGAATTTGAACTTTTATGCCAATTTAAAAAAAAATGTAAATGTACTTTTTAAGTTTTGAGGGTTTTTTTTATTTAATAACAACTGAAACGAGGTAGATTCTAAAAGTTAAGTCTTATCTGAACTTGAGGATTCAGTATCTTTGACTTAATTGTCAAAAATGTATTAAAAAAAACTGTTGTAAAATCTACTTTTTCAGGTTGCTCACTAATTTGTGTAATTATTTTAAAACATTGTTTACATTTGCTTTCATTCTGGTCTCGAAACAAGTTTCTTCTTTTATCTCTGTAAATTATAAGCCCACTCTGTTGCTATCTCTCCCATGCAAGCGATATTCCAGCTATTGACCTTGACAGGAAAATGTATTTTTCGACTTGCAAAAGTGTGCAGGATAATAAAGGCGCCAGCATGTCCTGCATTGATAACATGTTTTCCTGTTCTGTCCTTGGTGTGAATGCAGGACACAACAGTATCTACATACAAATCATGGGGCAAGCTTCCAGTGAAGAAAATGCTCTGTTGTAATAATAAACTTAAAAAATATATGTTATGCACATAAAGTAAACATGGCAAAGTTTCTGCAATACTTTCAAAAATAGTCTTACTGTGCCCCAAAAGGGGAAAAAAACCCCAACGTTAACAAAAACAGCTTTCACAACATTTGACAACAGCAAATTCAAACCCACCAGCGTGATCTCTCTGACAGTTAAAGGTACTTTCCTGTGTACTCAGCTAATTTTAGTATGTCTACAGTACAGTAACAGTTCAAAAGGGGATCAGTGTACCAGACATAGTCGCATCCAGATGCAGTAAATGGGTCATGGATTATGCAGCTGGGTCAAACAAACACTGCGGCCGTGAGTCAGTTTGGCAGCGGCTGGATGCATCGTGATCGTCCTGTCAGTCTGCATCGCAGAAGCAGCATAATGAGATCTACTGACCTGCGGCGACGCTGTTCTCTTAGTGCCCGCTTAATGTGCAGAGAGAGCTGGGGCCGCAAAATAGCCACTGTGAGTGGGAATTAACGCTCGGAGACGGATTGCTGTGGATCTTTTTTTAGAGAAACTGTTGACGGCTCCGCCGCAGGAATGTTGTCTTGTCACGGCTGGGGTGGAAAAAAGCCGAGGTGTTACAGCAAGAACCTGTGACACTCTGTCAGAATCTAATTTTATTATTTACACTTGGAGAGAGATCGAGAGAGTTACAGCGTGTTTCCTTTGCTTAGATATTTGTTATTTCCCTGAAGGCTGAACTAATTATTAATTCAGCTCATTAACAGTGAATAATTTGTCAGAAAGTGCTGCGCGGCGCCGACCTTCACAATAAGACGCATGAATTATTGATTGTATATTTTCGTCAACATGTGTCACATATGTTCAGATAACACGTCCTCAGTGCAACAGAGGGCAGCACAACCTGCTTTCAGTCTGCATCACCTGTGATCATGTGGAGGAGAGTATCTTTGAACCTGACTGTGTCACCATAGCAACTAATGCTGCCTGGTCCAGAGCAGGTAATGTTTGCAGTTTAGAATCAGCTGGAAGCGACACACTTTTACTCACTGTGTTACAAAAGGCCCAAGGAGGTTTTTCCCGCTTAAGGAATACAACATGCAACCTGCTGAGCATGTGTTACTAATGCTGCAGTGTAAAATATGACTCGTGGTCACAGGAAATCACAGCACGCGTTCGGAAAACAAAAATATTTTTATGCTTGAAGTCTCGTTTTCACTGCTGGAGTTGAAAGGAGTAGAACACAGATTAGTAAATTAATCAGTCCATTTGTAGGATGTCTATCAGTAAGATCATTGAATCAGTACAAATAATCTGACTTTTTCCACACTTCCATCACTGGACAGTCAGATCTGAGCAGACTGATGTTTAAATACGTCACTTATAAAGTTTCAGAGCACTAATGTGCAGCTCCGTGTCACATTACTCTTTCCCGAGTGGGAAACATCAACAGTTTTCTTACTTTGTTGCCTTTTGCCATTTTACTTGTATAGCTGTTTCTCTGACTGAAGCAGGCGACACTCAGTTTGGTCCACTTTCCTGCCATTTGTGCAGCAAGAGATTCAAAGTGCCCTTTTATGTGAGCGTGCACTGAGCCTGAAGCTGGAAGCCCTGAATTAACGACAAAGGTTGATAACCACTGTCATGTCGACCGTTATTTCTGACAGAGCGTTTAGGTTTTGCTGAGCCAGCTAATGTAAAGAAAGCCTGGATATGCTGAGCGTAGTGCTCACCTGCCTGATAGATATCACCAAGAAACTCCCCAAATCATCAAGATGTTATGTTTTGTTTAGTGTTTGTGCAGTAAAATAAACACATTTAACTGTTATTTTTTGTCTTTTTTGTGCATTCTGAACAAAATAAAACATTTTATGGAAGCAAAATAGTCAAAAATCCTCAAAATTAGCCGATGCATGAAAAACTGTATTTAACTTCTTGCTCTGAGCCTGGTGAAAAGGCAGTTTTTTTGAAACGTCATTTGTACTGATTCCCATTTGAAGCCCTTTGTTTATATTTTGCATGGACAGTTTTATCATCTTTAAAGCAAAAATCATCTCCAAAGATTTCCATGAGCAAGCATGAGAAGATGAGAGAAGCTGGAATTGATTAAATCCGTGCAGTTCCACTCTTGAACTGGGTTATCATTGAGTACTTTTATAATATTCACACAAATGCTTCTTAATAGAAACTGGGAGCTTCAGGCCCTTGTGTGGCCCATTATTACCGTACGGCACTGCTGCCACACATCCAGCATCCCCCTGCTGTAACTGCACCCTCTGAATTTTCATCACAATCCCAGCTAGATGGCAGTAATGCACCCATAATGGCTCTGTAATGGAAACTGCTCATCATTGTGAAAAGTGCACGAGGAGTGTTGTCCTCCTTTGCAGGAAAATCACCAAAAATATATATTCTTGAACAAATCTTAGTTTGCTTGCACCGTCGGAGATAATTTTCATCCTTACCCACTTTTATTTTCAGCAGCTTCTTTGCAGTTTCCTAATAAAATGCATTAGTGTTATGATACAACCACACAGCCCTTTCAGAGGACCACACAGCAGCTCTCATATTGCATTATGTGTGCTCTGCTGGCACTAATCCCCACAGACAGGACACAATCTGGGTTTGGCTAATACACTCAATTTTAAAGGAGTTTCCTTATGCAAACATAATTTACATTTGTTATTTTCACATTTTTGTACAGTTTTTTTATTGAGTTTAATTCCTCTTTCTATCGACTCGCTAAATGCCACTGTGGTGTTTTACACCTGGTGGCTGCTTCATTTAGATGTTATTTGTGGAGCCTCTGCTAACTGCTGATCATTTGCTTTTAATTAAACCTCTTTATCACCAGGAGAGGCTTCGTTTCGCCTCACAGATGTTTAAAACTTTAATGTCCTCAAATGCTCCTCCACTTTTGTTTTTTGTTTTGTCCTTACAGTAATCTCAGTTTTGATCTCAAAACCAGCAGTCCAATTTTCTTTCTTGCAGCTTCGGCAAAAATAGGAGATTTGATTTTTTTTTCTTTTCTTTTCTATGAGCTGCAAAAACTTGCTCATGTTTTTCTTACAGCTGGAAAATGCCTGTTTATAGAAACTATTTTAAATAACTTGACGCCACAAGAACAGAGTGATGATAGCTTTAAAAGTACTTTGCTACATTTGTAGAGAATAGATGGTAAAATTTGATTATTTTAAGGCTTATATGGGGTTACATTAACTTGTGAATATGGCAATGTGGAGAAAACCGTGAGCCACACTCTATTTAAATGTATATTTTGCTAGAAAAATGGGCCCCGGGCTTCCTGAAGGACATTGAATGCTCTTCTTTGGATGTTGGCTGACTTTTGTCCTGTTCTCACTGCACCTCACTGTGGGGAGGCCAATCCGTCACTGATAGTGCTCCACTGTTTTTTCTATTCAGGTATTCTTTCACTGCCTCGGCAGTGTGTTTGGGATCATTGTGATGCTGAAAAATTAAGCTGCTGCCAAGCCTATGTTTTCCAGATGTTACCACATGTTGGATCAAAAGCTGATGGTACTTTTCTGAATTCATAATTCCACAAATTTTGACAGTCACTGTTGTACATCTTTTCTTACCACCTCTACAAACTGATGAAGATTTGAACCAAGGATTTCATCATCTCCATCAGACCCGTTGCAACTGACTTTCAGCCTTAGACCTGCCGTTTGTCGTCCACTTGTCAGTTTTCCTCACATTTTTAAGGACACGCTGCACACCATGCTGAGACATGCTAGGGTTTTGTCTAATAGCTCCTGGAGAACACAAAAAGTATTATTTTATACCTGTTATCTGTGTTACCAGTATTATGTTTGAGATTTTTCATAGACTCAACTAAAGAGACAAGAATGCACAATGCCTGCTAGTAACAGATCATTTTAAATTGGTTGTCTGTTATGAGTAGGCACAGCACTGGTGCATCTTTTGAGCTGGGTGCCGTTTTTATGTTTAAATGATTCTTGGGTCAGTGTTAAGTGACTTTAAGTGAAAAAACAAGAAGAAGACTTGTTCAATACAATATGGAAATTAGTAGGTCACTGTTTAGTGTAAATCCTTCCTGATTGTGTCCCTGCTGTTAGAGGAAAGTGACTTATGAAAATCATTTAAATCTAAAATCACATTATACAAAGTGTATTAGACTTTTTACCGTGTTACCTGTATTTGCAATAGTAGAATCACCAAAATAAAGCCATTTTATTTCCTGTAATCACAGAGCAGTGATGGTGTTGACGTGCGAGCAGATCCAGGAACAAACAGTGACTAAGATGAAACCGTGGCAGCCTTATCTCATTTCACAAAGAGCTTCTTTCTCACTCAGGCTACTGGAGAAAATGCACAGTAATCACAAACTGCACAGCTGCTGGCAGCTTCACGTGTTTCTCTGAAGCCTTTTTTCCCAGTTATCTGGAATGAACTTCTGTCTCACTGCCCGTAATGCTGAGTCAGTCAGCTAGCTCACGTCAACACTCAGGGCGTCCTGCCCACACAAACTCAGGTACACAAGGTATAAAAAGGAAGTCTCAATGCTAGGCTCTCACCTGCCTGTCAAATGGAACAAGTGAAACATTCAATAAGTCATGATGATACTGTAAACTAATTTGATCTGGATGAGAAGAAATGCTTCAAAATCTTATTTATTATCTTTCTTCATCCGATAAGTGAATAAAATAAAAGTCCACCCAGATCTGTCAGAGGGATGGAAATAATTCAGAAGTTTAAAGGATAAGATGCCTTTCATTAAATTTGTAAAGAACATGCAGAGACAGGCAGAAGCTTTTTGAGGCCAGTGATGGCAGGAAAAACCACACTGCACTAAGGGGACTGTAATGCACGGCGGTGGGAACGCATAAGTGCGGCCGTCTCCCTTACAGTGGTGTCGGTGAACTCAAATCTGTTGAAGGAGTCATAAATTCTAAGATAATCTGCCCAAAAGAATGATACAAGCAACAGAACTTGGATTTTTGTTTTGTTTTAGAGCCCAGAGTCTTCCACTGATCACACAGAGCATCTGCGTGAAGCCAAGGAAGGAAAGAAAATAAGGCGATGCTCTTGTGTGGATAAACTGAAGATCCTCACCTCCGCTGCCATCACAGAGAGAAAGTAGTTTATTTCATACATGCTAGTGGCCAATCAGTTCTACAGCTAAAAGATGGTAAATAGCATTACTACAGCTCCTCCTCCTCCTAAATCCTAAATGGACAAAACAGCTCTCCTGCTAAAAGCTCCACTCTGCTCACCAGCCAGCTGTTAAGTGTGTCTGTGTGCAGTTCGGTGCTGAGCTGCTGGTTGGAGCTTTTGTAAGGATTTTCACTGAAAGCTGCTGACAGTGAAATGAACTGAAACTGAAGCAATAATGTAGATTCATTGCTTCATTTTCTCATTGTCAGTAAGCATAGTAAAAATCACAAGACTCAAACCCAGAAAGATACGTTTTACAGCAGATATTTCCCACTATAAATTCAGCAGCATTTGAATTTACAAAAAAAAAGTTGGAAAGCTGTGCAAAACGTTACAAATATAAATGAATCTCGTAAATCACAATAGAACATAGAAAACAGCAAATGTTTAAACAGAGAAAGTGTACCATTATTAAGAAATAGAAAAGGTTATTTTTGAATTTTATGGCAGCAACATGTCTCAGAAAAGTTGGGAGAGGGTCTTGTTTACAGCTGTTTAGCATCCCCTCCTCTTTAACAACAGTTCATAGACATCTGGGAACAGTGGAGACCAGCTGATGGATTTTTGTCCCATCATAATCTGACATGGATCTAGCCGCTGAACAGTCCTGGGCCCATGAGCCAATGCTTGAGTTGTTGAAAGTGGGCAGGCTTCTTCAGCTCCCTGACTCTTCTGCTGTGATGCCATGCTGCTGAAATACATGCAGTATGCTATTTAGCATCACCTTGCTGAAATCTTCTAGGCCTTCAATGTCTAGGCCAAACATGTCATCTGGATTGGAGCTTCTGCTGCTCTAAAACCTGTAAATACTCATATACTGATCATATATCCAGTGCAAGCTACCAATTTCACAGGCACTAATGCACAAACCATCAGAGATGCAACCAAGTCAGATCATCGATCTAGTCTTAGTCTGGACGATGCAGCGTCCATATTTGCCAAAAGGAATTTCAAATTTAGATTTGTCTGACCACAGAAGAGTTTTCCACGCTGCATCGACACTCTCTCACCACAACAGTGTTTCTGACTCCTGCCCACATTTGGCTTCTTCAGTATAGCTTTCATAGCTGCTTCCATTCCAATTTTTAGACATGTTGCTGCCACTGAATTCAAAATTACTAATATTTTGCTTGAAGTAGTAAAATACCTCAGTTTAAACATGTCACATGTTTTCTATGATCTACTGTGAATAAAATGAACTTTGCAAATCACTGAATTCTGTTTATTTTACAAAGCATCCCAGCAACATTTTTTTAATTGCAGTTGTATTTATTACATTTTGTAAAGATTCAATTTATGTTTTAATTGCTGCAGTTATTGTTTACTGGAGCAGAAAGTTGGTGTGTGTGTGTGTTGGTTTCCTTTCACCTTACACATTTGATGGATCACTTCTGCTCTCTGTAGTCAGAGAAGAGGCTGCACTTACAGTTCAACAACACCAGGTGGCAGTATTAGCTTTACTGGCTTCCTACCAGGTTGTGTGATTGAAGGAGTCCACTGTGGACTAAAACAAAGATAAAAACAACCATGCAAGCTTTGCAAAAGACAAACATCCCAAACAAGTGAAACAGCGCACATATATTTACATATTAACACCAATGGCATTGTGAGCATGCCTGTTCACCACACAGAGAAAACCTGCAGCTGAAAGCAGTCGACAGTAAAGCAGCAGCCATGGAGTCACCATAAAGCACAGCGCTCTACACCGGTTCATATTTACAATTTGTATATGAAACAAAGGCATGTGACTTTATTTACTGTGTCAGAGTACAGTCATGCATGGTTCGCCGTAAAACGCTCTGCTGCTGTGAAACTCCCGTTACTGACGTTGGCCTTATAAGTAGGGAACGTGAAGCAAAACCGACCGACACCGACATCAGAGCTGACACGTCAAACAACTGCGAACAACATTAAAGAGCCATTACCGTTAAATAAAATACAGTTTCTTCTAGGGAACAACACGTTGATGAACATTTCCAACCTTTTTTTTTTTCTTTTTTTTAAAGTTTGCTCCATCAACACCGAACATGCAAGTAGATCACACACGAACCATCGACGTGGAAGAACCAGTTTTCTTATCAGCTCGTGCTGTCAATCCAGTGACGATCAGAGGAAAAAACATCCGCCAGTATTAAGACCACTTGGAAATATCTTCGGAAGCATTAGGCAATCGTTATTGCACGGAGAGGTATGTGCGCTGTGAGACAGATGGGCATGACCGCGGAGTTTTAATGTCATGAATTTAATAAGAGCAAGCAAACCTGACATGCGGGACTGCGCGAGAGAATAATTAAACATTTCCCCTCGTCAAACGTCCCGGCGCAATTATTCTTCGTGAGTGGGCTCTGTCCACGAGGAGCATTTAGACCGATCTTAAAGCACTGAAAGGATGTGAATGCTTGCCAGCACTGTGAAGAAAATGGTTTCAGCTTTGTGTTGAGATTGTTTAGATCCGAGATTAGAGTATTGATCTGTGATTGTGGACAACCCTCCCCCCACCCCATCCCACCTATCTGGGCATGATGTTTTGAATTATGACACAAAGGAGGATATGGATCCGTCACAGTCATGCAGAACAATCCTTAAAACATGCGATGAGACGTCCTTCATCCCGGGTCTTCAGGCGGTCCCTCTGGTGTCAGTTATAGGGGAGGAAGCTCGGGTTCATTCCTGCAGCGTGGATCCGGGCAGCTCGTTGGTCAGTGTGTGCCAGCGCTCCACTTTCTTGCCCTTGTTCTTCAGACAGTCTATCCAGTGCTGCAGAGTGTCTCCCTGTGAATGACACCCTAAGGATACCCCCCCTTACAAAAGCAGAAACAGAGCAGACAGTCAGAGGTCAAGAAGAGCAGGCACAGCAAGCTCCAGCACACAGCTTCTGAATATGTCTTGTATTGTTTTGTATTCCATTTTATTTATAATAGACGTCTAAAACACAGAGGATCACCAATGAAACCTCATGTTCCAGGCTTTTAATGTTTTTTTTTTATTATTCTGATCAGGTACTAATTAGACCTGTACATATTTTTTACCTTTGTCTAATGAAGTGTGTTCAGATTGGCCATTAATTGTGCTGAAAAATTAAAACGTCAGTAATGTTTTTTCTTTCTTTCTCTTTTCTTTTTTTTTTAAAGCTTAGGTAATGGGTTGGAAAAAACAGCATAGTCCAAAATACACCCGCAATAAAAGACATTTGCATAACGAACAATAACCGAAAAAGCAGAAAGACTTCAAGCCGGATTGGTTTCTAAGTAAAAAAGGGGAAAAATGAACACGGCTGAGTCAAGTTCCCCTGCAAACAGCCCATTGTGAATGGCTCTCCAGTTTTAGATGTAATCCCCATCTTGTTTTTCAAATGTGTTGAAGCACCTAGAGTGCGTATTATTTCAGGTCGGGAGATGTAGTTAGTTTGACTCATGAGCTTGGAAAGTGTGTATCCATTTCCATATGAAAATAATCCTTAACAAATGCCATTGTTCCAATTTGAGGAACATATGCCCACAACCTGACTGCCCATCTGCTTCAGAAAAATACCACAAACTGTATTTTTATGCAACATTTTCACACCCTCAGTAGAAGAAGGTTTGGTACTGAAAGTCTTGAACTAGGGCATGTTTGTCACTGTTTCTGTTCAGAACTGTTATCCACAAAAGACGTTTGGTTTGCTGGTGTCAGGATCTCATCTCTGCTTTTACCTATGCTGTTAGCACAACAGAGTCTGAGGTCAAGGCCCTCAGCTGGAAATAGGTGGAGTGCCCACTCTGGGTCAGCGAGAGCTGAGTGTGAAAGCAAAGCTGTCGGTGAACCGCTCGATCCCCGTTCCTAACATCACCTGCGATCACAGGCTTTGTGTAGTGACCGAAAGAATAAGATTGCAGATACAAGTGGCAGAAATGAGCTTCCTCCTACACGTGTCTGGACTCTCTTTTAGGGACAGGGTGAGGATCTCGGTTATTTGGAAGGGGCTCAGAGTAGAGCCGCTGCTCCTCCATATTAAAAGGAGCCAGTTGAGGTGGTTCAGGCATCTGACCAGGATCCCTCCTGGAAGCCACCTAGATGAGGTGTTTCGGGCATGTCCTACAGAGGATGTCCCGGGGTAGACCCAGGACATTACACCTCTCAGCTGGCCCCATTGTCCCCCATAGAGCTGGTGGACGTAACTGGGAACACTGTCTGGGCATCGCTGCTAAGACTGTTGCTCAGAAAAACAGCAGAACATGGACGGGTGGACGGACATCTTCATGTGATTTGCAAAATAAAAATGTAGAAAAATGCCAATGAAGAATTCAAACTTTTTACCTTAAAAGAGATTTAAAAGTGGAAGTAAATATAATCAAATGCAAGAATCTTAGGCTAAACATCTAAAAATGACCTGTAGCCTCACTCGTGGCATGAACTTACCTATGAAGTCATTGGATTTTCCTAAATCATAGTCCCACACGGTGACCTCCAGCGTCTTGGTCGCTAATTCTGAGAAGGAGATCTCATAGAAAAACTCCTGAGTAAAGACAGAGTGAACAGTCAGAAGATCTCGAGTCTCAGAAAACCTTTAATGCAGCTAACTGGTTGGAGGATACATTTAAAGCTTCTAAATGAGCTGCGCCTTCGCTTTCAGTCATTACTGAAGTGGATGATGCGTACCTCATTAAACTCCGGGTTGAGAGTCTTTTTAATGACCGCTGTTTTGTGCTTGGATTTCTTGTGAACGTCTGGCTTCAGGTACCTGTGACAGAAGAATGTTTTACCGTCGTGTATACGATTCATTACTGTTCATATGTCAAAGCAGTGGAAGAAAGAATAACAGTCACGGCTGTAAAGGTCAGAGGAGGAAATCATGATTTTTCTATAACTGTTGAGGAAGAGGAAAGAGTCAGTGATTGCTGTGTTACTCTTACTTCATTCTTTATTCTAAATGAATACACTATATTGAAGCGCTACTAAGCATTAGATCAGCTGATTATTATTTTTTGCACTAATCTCGCCAGCTGGTAGCTGTAGCTTCATATTGAACAGACAGTGATATCAGTCTTCTCTAATCCAAGTCCCCCATCGATCCCCTGAAGGTTTCATGTATTATTTGTTAAACCCACAGAGGGGACTGATCAGTATGTCCTTCACCAGCACAGCACAGATTGTAAATTCACAGCCTCCCTTTGCGAGCTGTCATTAAATTCTCGGGATATTTTTAAGCCAGCTGGAAGCAGCGTGGCAAAAATCTCTATTCACATTTGCTTTCCACCCACCACCCACAGCTCGGGCTCGAGCGTATGTTCCCACACACTCTCAGACACAACAAAGCATCTGGGAAGATGCTCCCGCCAAAGGGCAAAGATGTGAGCACGCATCCAAAATGAAACAAGATGCGTGATGTGTTCCTGTGGATGTGTGAGGGATGCATGCGTAGGTTTGGTGCATGTAAAGAGGGAGAGAGAGAAAACCGGAGTTTGAAGCATAACGGGAAAAGGGAAGGGAGATTAGTTTGTGCGTGAGGTGAGGCGAGTGTGCTGGCATTTCTGCGTTTGTGCGCGTCCGTGTGTGTGTGTGTGTGAGCGTGTGAGATGGGAGGTTGTGGAGTGTTTTACTTATTGGAGAAACAGCCTCAAAGCCAGAACAGCACTCAGGAAAACACTGACACGAGACGAGGGGCGATTTTTAAAGCTCATTTGTCCACTTTATGTCAGTTTGCATCATTCAAAACAGATACAGACACAAACAGACACACAGTGACACACGCAGTCTTCATCAGTGAGTAATGAATCTCCAGAGGACCTCTCTGACAACAATAGCACCCACATCTGTTTTTTTTTTCTAATCCTGGACCTCCTCATGATCCAACGCACCCATAACATTAGATCATGTCACTGCCTTTCAGTCAGTTTCAAGCCTGTCAATACCCATACAGTCTCATAGTTGTCTTATAGTCATCGTGATGAATGAGTGACACATTTCCCAGTGGCCTCTATTTGTGTGAAAAGCTGCGCTCATCCCTCATCGTTACCTGATGTGAGGTTAACTCGAGCCATCGATCACTCGTGAGTAGCAACAAAAGGTGATTTATAGGGTCTGTATGAGCCAAGAGCCAACCTGAGGTATTAAGGTGTTGAAGGAGGGAGACGAAGATTGTCCTGAAACGAGGATCGTGACATGTGAGTCCATCAGTCTGATCTGCGTCACGTGTTCATGTATCAGAATGTGTGTGTGAGCATTGTTGTGTGATGATAATAGTATGTTTATACATATTTTTTTAAATTAGATGTATGCATTATTAAAAATAATTTTAAAGACTTGATAATTAGAAATAAAGTCCTTAAATATCACAGACAGGTAGCTAAAGAGATGACAATTTGTTTTAGTAAAGCTGATAACGTATGACATCACAACCACCTGCAGTAAGTACAGATGTGTGTGTGTGTGTGTGTGTGTGTATTTCTAATATGAGTTACTATGAGGGCAGTGATCTGAGGTTAATTGATTAGCCTGCAGGTACATTTAGAGTGACAGCCAAGATTTGAATCCAGTCGAGTGCAATTCATATTATTGACCAAGGAAATCAATACGCTTACTATATCTCTTTCAAAATGATAGGTTAGAGGTGTTTATGTTTTGGTGATTATCACCTCCTGCACCAATATCACAGTATTCCAGGCAAACATCAAAGGTTTATACCTCAGCTTTTGTTTGTCTGAAAGTCGCTAGTGAACACGAGTAATATTCAAATATCATAAAAGATACCATGTCACGAGTGGATCTTTTGCTCCCACTGATAGTCGCTAGGATTAGGTACCTTTTCATATTCGAACAGATACCTGGAAATTTGTACTGTACAGTTTTTGTGTGTATGTGTGTACTTTCTCATGGTGAAATAATAAATTGCCAACTTCATCATATAATTATTCTCTTTAAAAAAATAAGTTTCTGCTTCTATATTTAAGCATTTTGTTATTTATTTCATACATTATACACACCATACGGAATAAAACCTTTGTGTTTGACCAGGTGTTTCACACAGATTAGATGTGTTGCTATGACCACCTTTGGATTTTGCATTAAAAGTAACACGAACCTTTGACGAGTTCTAATTTCAGTGATCTCAACGTAACGTTCACACATTAAGTTTTATTAAAGTCTTAAGTGATAACTTGATGAGGAAGTCACCTTGGATTTTCAGATATATGCTATAGAGAATAAAAGTGTACAGTCAGTAGCAGCCAGCACCATTTGGTTGGTATGCTGAAAAGTAGTGAATACTGTACCCGGCCCCATTGGTTCCTCGCCTCTAAGCAGGTATGCGCCCACTTCGCAATGCCGGTGTTTATTTTCCCATCTTTGCTACGAGGTGCTCAGTTTTTCTGGTATTCTCTGGTTTCTGGTTGCCACATCCCTGCTGTTCTCCTTGTGTGTGGAGATCTCTTAAAATCTAAGGGGTTACTTAAGCAAACTGCTGAGGCTTTGTTGCTGCTGTGGGTTGGACCATCGAGAAATAGGAATAGCATTTCAGGGGTGGTTCAAGGACATGGAGGCTTGGTCTAAAGTATTTTGGCTCTTCATGAAATTCATGACTTGATGGCGTGCTTACGTTTTAACGTAGGGGTCGGAGAAACCGTTGACGTCCATGGCTGCCAGATGGGCGCAGCGCTTGACGCCCACACACAGTCCGCCACGAGCTCTCTCCTTGGCCTCGCCCTTCAAGTCGCCATCGGTGGATGGCGGGAGGAACTGGAGGCAGAGCAGCAAGCGTCCTCTCTCCTCTAGACTCCTCTGCTGCTCCGTCTCCCACTGAAAGAGAGAAACAAATGAAAATCATAGAAACGCCAAACGAGCAGCCTTTGTAGTTCACACATTAGTGACTCGGCCTAAGCTTCAGGGTCAATAATGAAAATGAGGCAGCAGTTTTGTTCCACGACCTTCAAATCTGCTGCAATCAATGAGGGTTTTTTTCTTTTGTTCTGCTTTTTGCATTATGTGTGATTTTAAATGTGCAGTGTAAGAATTAGCAGCTGACTCCGGCCCTGCTGAGCCTTTCACTAACTTGTGGCTTATTGATTGTTTTAGTGGCCCCACGACTTTATTGGTTTTTTTTCTCCCTTTTGTTTTCATCACCGTTATTTCTAGCCACAGAAAGCAGCTGTTTACAATGAAACAGCCCGATAAGCTCGATGCATGCTCCCTGCAGCACTAAATGACATACAGACAGACAGTCAGCGGCAAACTGGTGAACAGAGTGGTGTGTTTGGAAGCAAAGGAGCCAGATTTTCCCTCAGGAGTGAGTGGAGAGCTAAACAAAGCTCTAAGGAGTGTTAGGACTGGAGTGATGGACTGTAACGGTTCATTAGTGATTTTTCCTACCTTGAAGCTGTTTCCTGCCTTGGTTCTAAGCAAAGCTAACAGTGCAGACTCACTGAAACATGATTCAAATGAACGCTCATGTATTGATCTGATATCCATGACTGATGTATGATCACAAAATCAGGCTCAGTTTTGGAGCATAGTATAGCTAGTTCTCCTTCTCTCTTAATGGCCAGCTTGTGTTTCTCACCACATTCAAGGCTGTTCAATTAGTCCGCCTGTTCTCACATCTTTCAAACCCGCCCACAAATTTATTTCCTTCCCATTTGTCTGTCGCCCTGCGAGAAGCTGGCTCCACACTTGATGTATGTTGATTTCCACCTCCCTAATGAGCTGCTCTCTATCGATCTGTGAAGGTCCGAGCTGTTTCCTTACCAGGTACCCGGTGCAAATTATCCTCACTAATTACAAGTTTTTTTAAGTCCCCTGATTGCTGACGACAGATGGCAGAGTGGTTGTTGGTCTCAGAGAGAGACACAAAACATGGGAGACAGGAAAGGCAGCGTAGTGACAAGAAGGGGCGAAGCTGTTGAAACTATTTTAAAAAAAGGGAGGGCAGATCTCGAAGGAGATCAGTATGTGTGACATATTGATCTCCTTTGCTGTGTCTACCTCTTGCCTGAAGATAAGACTTAATGAGAGATGGAGAGATATTACAGGAGACGTTTAGTGGAGATACAGTAATGGTAGATCTGTGGTGCACCAACAAAGACAGCTTTTGAAAATCAATGCACCTACAGCGATGCAAATCCAAAATAGCAAATGCTTCTTTCCTATAAATACCGTACATGTACTGCTGCTGCTGGCCATGAGGGTGAGTCACGGGCCCGTGAGAGCGCCGTCTTCCCTTTCTTCACCCTCGGTTGTTGCTTTCTTTCTTCCTTTCATCTGTCACTTTGAATCTATTCTGTTGTTCTGCTTCTTGTCAAACACTTTGGTAACTATTTGATGTTGTCCATAGAAAATACAAAAGCCAGGAGCGACCAAGTAAAATGACTTAGAGGCTGATGTTTCACTTTGTCCAGGACGGGTCTTTGCCGTTGGACTGAGAGCGCTCCTGAAGTTTGTATCTAAGCTCTTTAGATGAGCTCAAGTGTTAGATGAAAGTCAATGAGCTCTTTAGGTGTGCCTGCTTAAATAGGAAAGCTACATCCAGGGATGAGCATAAAGTCCACTTTAAAGCAGGACTGTATTACCAGTAGCCTGTGGCGTCTACTTTAGCACATCGCCGTGTGTTTAGTAATTAAACAATGTATTTTAGCCAGAGTGTAGTCAGTGCATGATATTGGCCTAAGTTTACTTGCAAGAAGGGGCAAAGGTAGCAACCCAGAGCAGCACACAAAGATGTTTATTTAGGATTCCTTTATCATTTGATTTAAATACACTTGATACTCCTAAGTGTAGTTTTTCAGTGTTTGGGGTGATTGTAGGGCTGCCACGATTTGTCGACTAGTCACGATTACGTCGACTATCAAAATCGTCGACGACTGATTTAATAGTCGACGTGTCGTTTGAAGCTTTGTAAGATCGCAAAAGACGCAGGAATAATAGCAGGATTTAAGAGTGTAATAACGGACTGAAACAGAAGATGGCAGCACTGCATGTACAAGGATGCCAGCTGCCGTTAAACCCCGAAGAAGAAGAAGCAGCTGTGTCCCAGAATTCATAGCGCGGCCCAGCTTAGTTTCCAACAATGGCGGTAGCTAGTTAGTTTTAATATTACTCTTATTATTCTTTCTGGGTCACAAAATAAACGTTTAACGTATTTTCAGGCGAGAATGTAGCTGTGTAAACCTCAAATATCGGCTCAGTTTATCAGGACACCACATATTTTCAAAAGCGCTCTGACGTTTTCGGAGACGTCTGTTACCCACTAGCTCGATAGCTAGCCGGGGGCTAGGTCACTAGCGCCGTGAGAACACCGGACTCCCGGCAAATTGTTTTCAAACCCACCGCCGTCTTTCACGACTCAGGTTAAATATATATGAGTCACTTAGATAAATTAAAAATGTTGTTGTTTGGCTTTTTTTTTTTTTTTTTTTAGTATTTTATTTGTTCCTGTGTAAATCGGTTTGGCTGAGATTAAAGTTATAGTTTTTACACAGCTGAATAAACGTCAAGCAGACAACTGATTATCAGAAGTGTGAGATGCTGGAGAATATACTCCGGTGTCCTGTTATATTTTAGATAGCAAGGAGTTTATTAAACTTCACCGAAACAATCTGCAAATTTCATTAAAATTGAATAAACTATCATCTTGTCTTTATTTTTAGTTAGCACCTTAAAAGCTTAAAGCTGTAAGCTAATGATAGTTATATAAGAGCAGATGCTGCTGGTGCAATAAGCTGTAGTTTTACGTCCAGTGGATGATGATCTGATTAGTCGACTAATCGCATAAATAATCGGTGACTAGTCGACTATCAAAATAATCGTTTGTGGCAGCCCTAGGTGAGTGTTGTGAATAGAACTGCTTTAACCCCCAAAGTCCTTTTCAAATTCTTACCAAGTAGTTTTGGAATCTAAACTAATCCAACAGTAAAGGTAAAGAGCGAGTGACGACAAACAAGTTGCACAGATCCCACTTAGGGGGGAAACTGCAGTGGTGTTCTACCAAGCGAGGTTAGTGGGTTTAAGTGGCTCTTTTTCCTGGCTGAATCACTGTGGTAGCTGTGCTGAACACATAATCCGGTCAGTTTCCAAGTTTCCAGCAATCAGCAGGAAGTTTTTACTGATTCTTCTGTTTACAGCATATTTTAAGTGCAATATTGATTCTCTATCGGTTGAATATGTCTCATGTTTAACGTTTAAAAGTATCCAGTTTAAAGTTTCAAAGCTGTAATGTGCAGCTGTCATGTCAGAAATCCACAGCAGCACTGAGATCGCTTTCATCGATGAAATAATTAAAGTGTCTATTTTACCACCCAGCGTGATGTAACCCCAGATTAATGACTTCGCTGCAGCATTAATCTCTCGTTTTATTTGTAACAGTGATCCATTTTACTGATAAGATCTCTGGAGTAGGTGATACTCACAGGGATCATTTTGTGCCCAAGAAGAGTCATGTGACCTCTGCAGAGAACCCAGCTTAACAGAGAAAGCTGATAACCACCATTGTGATGCCTGTTATCTCCACCTGGGATTTGTGGTCTTGTCAAACATAAATAAATCCTGACTGTGTTGAACGTCGTTGGTAGTATACCTCTCTAGTTGACAAACTAGAAAATTTAAAGAAATTATAGTTAACATGAATATACACGAAATACTGTACAGTGCACTAGTTACAGCAGACTTTCAGCAATTTTTCACTCCTGCTCAGAAGACTACCCTAAACCTTGTTCTTCCAGTTCACCAGTGCAACTGTCCAAATGTCCACACACCTATAATCGAGAGATATTTGCAGACAGTGAGGATAAGAAATACTGGAAACATAAAGTTTGGCTGCTCTCGATTGCGTCATAGCTCGACTCTTTTCCTGCACAGCTGGGATTCTGCGTCTCATATCTGCGATGTAGCTTTCACTTTTTGTTTTCACTTTTTGAGGGTTGTCAAACACACAAACAGATCGGATGAAGAGGCCGCTCGGAGGAAGCATTTGTTCTGCTTCATTTCTGCTGCTGTAAGAGTTTAAGTGAGAATTTTCAGGACGGATTCGGTAAACTCGACATTTAACGGCTTGTTACAAGGTTGTGTTCCTCTCTAATTTACAGACTTGATTAGGAAGAATTGTCAGCGTTCCTGCACTCCCCCACCCCTCTGTCTGGTGTGGACAAGGAGGCATGCTGCATTTCAAAATTCCCCCACGCGAATCAAATCTATTTAGCCAGGAGCTGCTCATTTTGGCCTTTCGGTGTTGCAGCTGTCACTGACTGACTAAATTTAGGGATAATGCTTTTTTTCCCTGGTCATTTAAAAAACAGCTTAGGGCTTAAGGGGTAAAAGTCAGTGTGTGCATGTTAGTTTAGTTTATGCAGCTTTTAAAAGAACAAATAAAAAAAGAATCATTCTTCAGCTTACAAATGAAATTTTGATTGGATTCGAAATAACGTAGCTCTGCTAAATTATTTCCACTCCGACAGCTTTGTTTGCTTTGTTGTGTAATTATTTTCAAAGATAATATTTTTTATACTGATAAATTGGATAGAAAAGTAAATAAGGATTAAGCACATGTACTTCTGCTCTAGCTAACTACAGATAAATATAGATCACTAACTTTATAGAGGTTTTTTTAAAAAATGTATCACTACCCTGCTTCTAGTTTAACACTAAAAATGCAAATGTATCAGGAGGTCACTTCGCCCTGTTTTGGAAGTGGAAGATAAAAAATGGGTGTTGTTCTTTAAGACAGGATGAAAAATGGACTGAGGGGACAGACAGGAGGAGGGTCATGTTGAACAGAACAGACAGAGGACTCGGGGTGTTCACCTCTCGCAGGTAGCAGGAGATTCCTCTCAGGGCTGTGCTCATCGCAGTTGGTGAAGGCAGCTGGAGTCGAGCAGAAAAAAGAAGAGAGGTAAATATTGAGGTGGAGATGCCTGAAAAGCAGGCAGGTTGGAGGAGCAAAGAGAAAGGGACGGCTGCATCGAGCGGAGCCACTTTGAAAATTACATTCCTGACACAGCGTCTGTTTGCGGGATGACAGAAAGGCTTTAGCGTTTGATCGCAGAGTGGGCACCGGCCTCAGAGGGCCAGTCCAATACCAGCAGCCTTCCCCAGCTCAGAAAGAACAAAACCCAGCGCCCTCGCAACCCCTTTTAACACCTCTGCCCCCGACCCCTGTGCACACCCCCGCCCCCCACTTTTATTTTTTAATCCATTTGTTTCTCATCTCTCTGGCTTGCTCTTGCTGTCTATTGACAATTCCCCGCCCCCCCTCTTCTCCTGCTCTTTCTCCTCACCTTTTATTCTCCCAGTGTTTGCAGCTTTTTTTTCTTTTCCCCCCACATGTGACCCAGTTGACATTTAACCTACATGAAAAGCTATTTGTGGCTCATGGCAGTGGAAATCAAATCCACTTCTTTCTTTATCAAGTATTTGTAATTCCAAGGAGGCACAAATCATCTCAGACTTCACATAACGAAATCATCAATTTCCAGAGGTTTTGGTAATAAGTAACATTCAAATTACTAATGATAACAATAATAATAAATTTGCCAACTTAGTCATACATTAAGAAATGCTTAAGTGGCAGAGTTTTTAAAGAACTCTTTTGTCATTGAAGTAAAATATAAGTTATACAGTAAGCTGTAGATAAGTAGATAAGTAGGTATTATTATGCTGACTGCTGCTGTCTTTTATTTCATTACAATAAAAGATACAATTTTAATGTCTGTTCAGTCGGGCAGTATTTGTCAATTTAAGCAGGAAAACTGAAGATTTGCTCTAATACAGTTGATGTATTGAAGCATAAGAATATTTTGAGAAAATTATCTGATCGATGTAGCGAGTGCTCTGATGCTCCTGGATGAATCCCGAGCGCAGTGGTTTTATTTCCAATGATTTTTCCGAGCACAGCAGCTCATTAATGCCGTTCTGTTTGCGGACAAAGCGTTCAAGTTTGCTAGATAAGATCATTACGACAAGTCGGAAAATGTAAATAATTGATGAACTTACAGCTGCTGTGCCACAACCTGATTTATTGATTTATTTTCAGCCAGCATGGATCAGTATTGTCACTGTACTGTTAAACTAAGCCAAAGGAAACACGGTGACATTGACCGTGTGAACCTTCAGCACATCTTAAAGCTGAAGTTTTTACTAGTTACATGCAGGCTGGCGATACTATCATACTGAATGATGCTGCGCAATAATACGATGTTGTTATCTACTTTGCAGGAACTGTTTGGGAGAGGCCTTTTTTCTGTGTTCCTATGCACAAAGTGAGCTCTAAAATAAATGGGCTGCCCAGTTTGTTGTGGAATACGTTGCCTGGCTGGCACCGAGCCCTGACCTTCACCTTCTCCCACACTTGTTGGATGAATTTCAACAGCCACTGAGAGCTGTTCTTATCCAACCCAGTCATTCAGATTTAAAACTAGGTGGAAAGAGTTTAGGGTCTTACATTTTTAAATGTAACTTTTTTTCATAAACATGAAAAACATGGGTGCAGATTTGCCATCAGCATTCAGTATTAACATTTGAAAACTTCAAGGTCATTTTTCTAAATCATTAGCGCATCTTTCTTTTCTTTCTCCCTAATCAATACCTTATAGCGCTCGGTCCTTTCACACCATGCGCTGGCAGCTGGGATAGGCTTCAGCTGCTCTGCAACCCTTAACTAGACGGGCCTTTTTAGAAAATGGATGGAATTAATGCTTAATAAGTTATTGGATTTTTCACAAACTGGCAATACAGTTTATTTCTATAAATGCAGTTATTGATTTATAAATCTAAAGATGGCACAGATGTTGCTTGTTTTTTTTATTTAAATATGATGAGACCTAGATGTGTGATATTCATCCAAGTGAAATGATACATCGATCAGGCACAACATTAAAACCACTGACGGATGAACTGATACGGTTTATTATCTCAGTACAGTGCAGTTTTCTGCTGGGAAACTTTGGGTCCTGGCATTCGTATGGAAGTTATTTTGACACCTATCACTCACTTGAAACTTGCACACCATCCACACCTGACAGTGGCGCTCCCCGATGGCAGCTGCTCTCCCAAATAGGACATCCTGTCACTTTGCAAATCTGCACAAGAATGAGTTGGGGTAACACAATAAAATGCCCAAAGTGACAGCCCAACCCACAGACTCCCATCTGATCCAGCACCAGAACAATCATGAGTCACATCCTGCAGCACGCAGGATGCACCGCCGGTAGCAGACACCGCAGGACGCCTCCAGAGGTCCTCTGTCCGAGACCCAACTGGTCAAGGCCGTTGTGACTCACATGAAGGGTTGCTACACAATATTACAGATGGTTTTATTGTTGTGGCTGACCGGTGTGTGTTACCCTCTGTCATCACCTCATCCCCTTCTTTCTCTGTGCACCCCCCATCTTTACTCACAGCTGTGAGTCAGACAGGATGCCTCAATAAATACTGCTGTACCCCCTACTGTAGCATTCATCTCCCTTATACGCTTAGATTTTCCTTTTTCCTAGTTTTATAGGTTCTGTCTTTCTTTTTTCCCCCTCTCCCCCCCGTTCTTCTCACAGGAGGTGGATGCTCCAGACAGATGTTAAAGTGTTTGGTCTGGTCAGGCTTCACACGGCGCAGGGCCACCCGAGACTCCCCAATGAACTCATTATGTGTCAGCTTGTCTTCGTCGCACACGGACACCCTGGGAGTGAGAGACAGGGAGGGGATGGGGGGGTAAAGAATGAGAAATGAGGAGAGAACGATGGGCAGAGCACAAAGCATGAATCAAAATAAGAGTAGCTGGTTACTGCAGTGGCATAATAGGGCCATTGTAGGTATGGAATTCAATTACAGAGCTGGGTGAAACAATCTATTTACGAGGGGAAAAACTATAATTCTGAAATTTTACACATTTTAAAGGAAAGGCTTAAGAAAACACATCGCATCACTCTGCAGGTGGATCAATGTCACCGCACCACAGACGCTGGTGAAAGCACAAGAAAAAAGGGAATGCCGCATCCACATGTTGGCGCAAATAATACCTTTGCAGCTGTTCTTTGTTTCTGATTCTCAGCATATAAATGAGTATATCGTTTTCTTTTGAAGAGCATTAGTTCACAGTAACATTTCTGCAAAGTCTGGATGATAATGGCTAAAATCACAAGGATTTCTTTATTGGAGAGTCTTGTTTCAATAGGCAGTGTTTGGACCAACATTGAAGGCATCTTTACAGGTCTGAACAGCACTGTGAAAATTTCTTTAGCCACACCACATTTCTTAAGACTTTGCTTCCAAGGAGACGGGATGTCTTGAAAATTCTTAAAGTGGTCTTGAGAATAGTTCTCCACGCTTTCTGAAGGTCTATCAAAGGTTTTCTTTGGACATTGAAAATGTGTGAAAAAGCAGCCAGTGTATTTTTTTTTGTACCTGGTCATTTTTAGAGGATTTATTTTTTTGCTAAGCCACTTAACAGTGTTGTGTCTACACATAACAGACAACTTAGCAAAGCTAGTAACAAAATACTTTCAGGGGTTTTGACACTAAAAGCCTGTCACGAATGCATCATGTGTCCCCATTTCTTTATTCGAATCTATGAAACACAAAGAGAACGCTGTTTGACAGATAAGAAAATATTTTTGTACCAACAAAAAACTTTGTACCGATTGCCAAAAAGCAGTTGGACCAAAACTTTGCATATCTCTACATGCTGTCAGGGCGTCTTTAAAAAATATGTGGAAGCTGGACTGCATTTCAAACTGCGTTTCAGGCAGTGGTGTTAGCCAGCTTGTCAAAAATGATGGACGCAGAAAAGAACCATCTGAAAAGCATGAACAGCTTCATTTTTCAGCATGACAATGCTCCCAAACACAATACAGCACGGTAAAAGCATACCTGGATAGGAAACCGCACAGTAGCGCACTATCAATCATGGATTGGCCTCCCTAGAGCCCGGACCTCAACCTTACTGAAGCAGTGTGGGATCATCGTGACAGAGAATATAACAGAAGGCAGAAACATCCAAAGAAGAGCTTTGAATGTCCTTAAAGGTGGTCACACCAAATACTGACTGACAGCATTTATTACAAGATTGAATTTCTACATATGCTTGCACATGTTTTAACAAGTCACTGCACCCATTTCTCATTTTCTGAGCAAAATATAAAGAAATGAGGGGTGAGTCAAGGGTTTTGCATAGTATTGTATAATATCTGAGATAATTCAAAGTTTTACTAAAAATAAAAGTTTTTTGTTAAGTCATCATCTGCCTCCCCACCACCCTTTTTATTTTTTTAGACCTACAATGACCCTGATATGACAGAAAATGTAAAGTAATCAGAGGGAGAGTGCTTTTTGTGTGTGATGGAGTGTGGTAGTCAAACACAATATCATGAGTCATTTTAGGGAAGGGAAATCACTGACATAAACACGACCTGAATAAAGTAACAGAGTCAGAAAGTGACCGGCGCTACATGTAAATCAGGCCTGTGTGTGAGTGTGTGTGTTCAGACTAGAAGTAATTACCATTTTCCTCCAGCAGGAATTTATATAATGTGAAAGTGCATCATGCTAGGTTACGTCAATCCATATTTATGGGCCTGGCAAACTTTTACACCTGCCATAATAGTGCCTGAAATAAACTAGTGGGCGGGTGGGGAGAGTGGAGTGAAGGAGATGCAGGGATGCTGTGTCTGTGAGGATTTGAGTGACGTGATGAAAACAGGCTAGTCTATTTAAATGAACATGTGAAGTGATATGTTACAAGCTAACTGAAGCCCAGCACTTTTTCTCTTTAATTTATGTAAATGTGAATGAAAAACATACAATGGGAGGAAGAAAATCAAGAAAGCGATCGGCCACAGGAGAGATTGGTATATAAACATGCTGCCTCCCCATCTACTGCTTCATTTGACTTCTTACTAAATTCATAACCACAGGTGTAACGTTTGTCTTCAGTTTCTGATAATAAAAGACAATAATCTGTTAAAATACTGAGAGTTAATATCTAGTTTAGTGACTTAAGTTTCCTCAATCTAAAACATTGAGTATCAAAAAGACAAAACTAATGATGAAGAGAGGGGGGGATGAGCGCAGATGAGAGCAGCAGCTGGCGCTAAGGGGAGAAAGATGGTGTAAAACAGCTCGAGGGTGAAGTGGTAAGTGAGAAAATGATGGGTCAAAGAGGGAAGAAAGATGGAGCCATTATAATACCAGCTGGATGTAAGGCTTCACTTACAGGACATCAAGTAATAAAAACATTTAAGTGTCATTGTGACAGCTCGTAATTACTGACGCATCAGTCATCATCCATAATGTGAACCCAAGCAGGGGGGTGAATCTGATCTACACATACCAGCATCACCTTATATACAGATGAAGTCTCACTGTGACTGCCTGCTGTCTATTTCCGGCTAAAAACGTAGAAAACGTTATCAAAACCTGTGACTTTTTGAGTCAAACATTGATAAATAATAAGATCAAATAGCAAAATGTTTATTCTTTAGTTCCACATACTTTTCTTCTTCTTTTTTTAAACCAAATTGAGCTTCAGAAAAAAAACCTTAATTTTGACTTGTGGCTTTTGGGCTGTGGTCCTACACACGGAGTGTGATAGCGCATTCATTTGAAATGACCACAAGGGGGCGATACCTGTGGTTACAAAAACAGTTGAGCTTGATTTAGACTTCTGCGGGATGCCGTAACCGCAACCATCCACGGCATTTAAGTTGTTGTGGTATGCGTTGACCGGATGTGTAGTTACATCACATCAGGTTATGTGGACGGTTACAGCGTAGGGTTAAAATGAGTTTCCCATTTCTGCGTAGTTAGATATTTCCTGCTGAGGCATAATTCTCTCAATAAACCCACCCTGTTGGTCACTTTGCGTGCTGCTAGTAACGTCATCATAGTCACATCCTTTCAAGTTCAGTGTTTTGGTGCTGGTACTCCCTACAATATGCTCCTGAATGATCAGTGTCCCCAATCAGACAATACCTTCACATCAGCACTAGTTAGCAGGAGAAGTGGTCAGTTTTTTAACACTGTTGCAGCATCCTGCTCTGTGTAATCTGTGAATCTGAGTTTCCTGCTGATATGTCATTAAAATGGCGGTAAAAACTGACACGATCCTAAATACATGTCTTCAATCTGGCTGTGACAGCAACACAAGTTATAAAAGAGAGGTACAAGACCGGCAACTTTGTTATAAGGTGACGTTACGATCATGCAGAAATCTGTGGCAAATGGCCCTTGACTTTTCCTTTTACACTTTCCTGATGAGTTATGGACTCAGTCGCTCATTTCGAGTGGGAAAAAAGCCTAAGGTGTAAATTTTGTTTCTCTAACTTTCAGAAAGATAGATCGTGCAGAGAGATGTGTGATTTCACAGTCAGATCAACTCCTTGCTGGGCTAATCTAGTTTCAAAACACCAAGATTCTCATGTGGCTTAAAAACAGGACTTAACAAAACAACAGGTGACGTCACAGCAGCTACATCAATTTCAAATCATCATAACAGGATAAGCTGTGCAGTCTCAGCTTGTTGCAGGGCAACACCTCCAAAGCTTAGTGTCACCTGATGCTGGCGGCTATAACAGAGAATATTGTAAGTGGTGTGTGAGGAAGTGGAGGCAAATAAGAGGGCGATATGTATTATACTAAAAACAAACCCTTCTCAGCCGCCTATTGTATCTATCCTGCTCTCCAGCATGGCGACAGCTGTTAGTCACCAAGAGCGTCAGCCATCATTATTTTACTGTTTAATTCATTGTTGGTCTAAATATATGATTTTTTTTCCAGACTGTAGAAAAGAGAAAACATTGATCTGGGCAGCACAGTTTGTTTCTTTGAGGGCGATCACTGACGATCACCTCATCAGGTACAAAGGATATGGGCGCTAGCTACTTAGCACGCTAACTCTGGTAGCTATCCATGTAACTACCGTAATGACATAGCTACATAAACAGGAAAAAAGTATCAAAGTAATTTATAAAATACTGATGATTTCTTCTTCTGCACGTTGATTTTGCATTTTCTTATTGTCCCTTTTAAAATCTTTCATTTGTCACATTATGGGTCAGTCACACTAGAGTTAAAAAAAAATCTCCTAGCAACTGAGAAAAACTGGTGGTTGCCCAGTGACTGCATTAAATTTTTATTTTAATGTATTTAATTTTTTTAGCTTTTAGACTAAAGTTGCTGCCCCGCAATAACTTTGTCACTGTTTATGGAGGAATTTCTCTTTCAGACCTATGAGGTTTTGGCTTGACCCTGAATATCAGAGGCAACAGCTTTTTGCTGATTTATACCATTTACCTTCTATAGTTACACAAACAGATCGCATGTAATTGCCAACTTGACCCCATTCAGTTGCAAACCAATGGCATCTCATTGCCAGTTCATTGTCGTCTTGTTCCACTAAAGTTGCTCTAAAGACGGCAGCTGAGTTCGAGTGATTGCAGACCTGGTCTTTATCTTCAAATATTTCTAATCCAACAAGACCAGAGGTTCATTGCACAGACTTACAGCAATTTTGGTTGTGCCATCATCTTGAAACACTGTTTTCCCCAGTGTGACTGTAGCATTAGCTTGTTTTGGAAAAATCAGAAACTCTTAAATTCTTAGAAGCTGACACCAAACGTGTCCACAGTGACTGCTTGAAACAATCCTTTGAATCTCGTGCTCTCAGAAGTTTGTCAATTTTAAAGACACTGTATTTCACAGATCGATGGTGACATGTTTCCATGTTTACCTAAGTTCAACTTCCCATCTCCTGATCTTTACATGTCTCTGCTGAATTAACACTGCCAGATTCTCTAATTTCCCTGGAGAGATCATCCGTCGATCCTATTTAAATCCCACTCCCATGTGTGCCACGGCAAAGTTTTAGTCACAGGCAGAAACAATTCGCAGCTTTCGTCACCTCTAGAGGGGGGTCAATGAAATTAAAACACCCCGCGGAGCTCAGTCTGACCTCAATCTGTCACTGCAACTTGGATAGAGAGAAAGCAAGGAGCCAGATTGAATGAGAGACAAAGAAAAAGGAGGGGTTCAGAACGAGTGAGGGGAGATCTTTTCTGATCCTGGTGGACAGGAGAGTGTGAGGATGGGGAGGAACAAAGGTGAAGAGGATCTCAGTGGAGATGGAAACAGAGAGGAGCAACATGGCAAAATGGAGAAAGGCAAATAAAACCAGGAGCTGTGATGATAAGAAAATCCTTTGTAAAGCACGGGTCAGCTTTGCGATGGGAAATGATAAACAGAAAGGCAGGGCATGAAGAGGACAGAAATAGCCTTTCCTAGAGCAAACATTTACCGGAGTGTTTTGCGGTACATGTCTTCCTCGGTGATTCCACAGTAGGTGAGCGTCTCGTTCCACATGGGATTCAGCGTGTTGCGAACAGTCTTGGTCTTCAGTTTATTGGCCTGTAAGTGATGGGCAGAGAGAAGAAAACATCAATTTAATGCCAGGCTTTGTCGAGGAGAGACAAACGGAAAACAACCTCCGCGAGGAAAACAAGTTCAGTTCCTACAATCTACAAGGTCATTTTGCCTCATTGCCGATTTATTGGTCTGCACTTTAGTTTTCATTGCATAACGCTAAAAAATGCAGCATGAATTAAATCTGCACTTCAGAGTCCTTGTGACACGATACTGAAGGCCTCTTTCATTTAGGGACAAAAACTCTGTTCTGATAAGAAAATCAGACCTTGCAGGCGCCTGGCAGCAGATGCAGCTTGACGTAGGGATCGGCCAGACCATTGAAATCCATCGGCTTTAGACCCTTTTCAGAAAAGATACAAGCCATGTAAAAAAGAAGATCGCAGTACAAATGTTCAACATTTAAAACGACTAACAGACTAAGACTTGAAGGGTTCTTTCTTCTTCTTCTTTTTTTTAATCAGTAGAACAAAAAACACATGCTGTTGAGTTGTACCTTGGTTCAGCTGCAGTGGCTCTAATGGAGTTTTCCGAGTTTGGGATTTACCTTTGCTCTGAGGACTGTGCAGTGCAGGGAGCTGGTGGCTTTCTCGTACAGTAGGTCAAACTCTAGCGTCCCCAAAGAGGCTGGAAGGCAGTTAATAAAAAGTCACACACACACACACACACAAATCTGCGCCATTTACTTTGGTAATTGCTTTTGAGCTGATGACTTTATTATCTGCAAAACAGATGGAGAATGATGGCAGGGAGAAACACAAACAGCAGATGAGAAGGAGAAATTGAATTCGCTCAGACTTTTATGAAAACATCTTTTCTTTGTTTGAAAGGAATACATAAAATATTTCCCTTCTTGTTGGGAGTTGATAGAGAAAGATTGAAACTGCAGTGCATGTACTGCAGACAGCAGCTGGGTGGCTGACCTCAGCATAAAGCATGGAAACAACCTAAAGCGGCTACACTGCTTCTACCCAAAAACACATAAAAACCATCTCCTAGCAACTCTTAAACTGAATGACATGTCTTTCATTCATCCTTTGTAATGCTATTCCCGTGTAGAGGTTGACCTCTAATGTAGTACCCGGAAACTTCTACAAAACTTTATACTCAAGTCTTGGTACATGTTTATTAAACGATCTGTCCTTTTTTATCCTTGGTGGTATTTTTCTTCTGGTGGTCTCCGAGGTCCCTGTTAGATTTACAGTCTTACTTTTCATGACTCTGTGTATTTGTAGTTTCTGGTATTTTCTGTTTTGTTCTGAAGGTTTTCTCGTGTTGTTTTAGTTCCTGTTTTTGATGCTTTCTAAACCTTTATCATTGTATTTAATTGCTTCCCACCCCAATAGGTCAAGGAAAGGTGTAAAGGGGAATTTATTGGGACTTGCACAGAGAATCCCACTGCATTTACATGAGACGCTTATATTCCTCTAAAACGACATGGTCCTGAAGATGGAGAACAAAAAGCACATCGCTCTGCGCGCTTTTAGTAAAAATAAGACCACATCCTCCTTGTAACTAAGAAAACTGAGAGGTTTCTTGGTGACAGAATTGAATTTTTTAACATTTATGGACTCACTACAAGTAGCTGCAGCGACCAGTTGGTTCGTGAGAGGTTTATTGTGCAACACCCTCAGCCTGCAAGGCTGCCTTCCACCAGGCAACGTGGTGATTAAAAACCTTGGGACTCTCTGCCAAATAGCTGTGTTCTGGTTACTTTCTTATATAAAAACAAGGTTGTCAAGCACCTATGTCATTCAGCAATTAAATCATTGCCCTGCAGACTGTACCTCAATATTAATGCAGGAATTTGTGAATTTCAGATCTTTGAGGTTCTGGCTGGACTCTGAATGCTTGTAGTTTATGTGAATTTACCGATTTAGCCAATTTATTGCAGTTAATTGCAAACAAAATTGCTATTTTATAGCCAACCTGATGTACAAAGGTTGCCCTGAAGATGGCAACTGACTGTGAGCGATTGCATGACAATGAAATTGCAAGTTCATTGCAGATGTCCAGCATAATTTTGGTCATGTTGTGGTCTCAAACTACTGAATTCACCGGGGAACTGTAGCTTTAAAAAGCCAGATTAATAAACTTTGATATATTCTGAGGTAATCTGATAAGGAAAGTTGCTTTTTTTTTCTTACAATAAAGTTGGAGTCCTTTTGCAGACTATGCATGGAGCACTTGCTGCAGTGCAAAGTTCTTTCAATATTTCAAGCGGTGAAATGATCCCCAGTAAACCAGATGTGCACTGACTTAATTTTATTTGCTCTTAGATTAGGTTGCTTCAATGAGACTTCCAGGTGACTCACTGTTATCATCGCTGTCACAGCTGTCGATCTCAATGGAGGTGTCCATGCTGCTCATGGCTGACAGGGAGCCCCCTCCCCCCGCCGCTCCCGGTAACTGTGGCGACAAAAGGCCACTGCTCCCCCCTCCTCCCATGGGCCCTCCAGCTTGACCTGTGCTGCCAGGGCTGAGCGTTGTGGGCGCCGCCACCTGATTGGGCGAGAGTGGCTCGGAGAAGGAGGAAGTGGGCGAGAGGCGAGGGAAGTAGGCGGAGATTTGACGAATGGGGCGTATGGGGCCCGGGCAGACATCGATGGCCATGTGCTCCTGGATGGTGATGCCCAAACGTTTTCCTTTTCGCACAGTCATAGGGCTGGAAAGGAGAATATAACATTAGTGTATGCACACAATTTTGAATTGCTTACCAGTGTAGAAAGAGTGAAGACGGGCCTTTTCTTTTCCTCAGCACTGAGCTCAGTGAGGTGTTTGATTACAAACAGTCTCTGCTCCTCTAGGATTTTCATTTTCAAGAACATATCTAAGGATGTTTTTTCCTCACAGTGCTTTCCTGGTGAAAATCTTTCTAGTGTAACTGGAACAGTTTTAAAAGATGACATTACATTTAAGATGTGCATACATTTGCATTTCAATTAAGCAGATCTGAATGAACCCAACCCTATCAGAGAGGATAAAAGATAATGGACAACGGGGGTCTCCTCCATATCCTAATCATCCTCGATGAAACAGCAGTGTGTGTGAGAGTGTCTGAGCATGCATCTTATCTATAAAAAGCTTTTCAGAATGCTCTGCAGACACAAAGGTAATTACATAAATCTTTACAGGCTGAGATGGAGAGAAGATTCCTGATGATTATATAGTGTTGTGGTTCCAAGGAGTGGAGCTGACCACGAGGCTGATGTGTCTGCTCTTTTCCCAAAATAAAAAAAAGAGGGGGTGGACAAATATCTCATAGCTTTTGTTTTCTCAGCAGGGCTTGAGGGGCCATTCTGTCCTCTGCAGTGAACTGAAAATCCCCCCCTGGACTCCCATCGCAGCTTTCTCTGCATTAATCGATTGGAACTGAGAAGTTAATATTTGCACTTACTCCGTGTTTGCCGTGCACGCCGAGTTCAGCGAGATTTAGAAACATAAAAATGAGAATTCAGACAGGGAAAGCTCGGTGTTCTGTTTAAGTATTTTTCATGTAATAAATTCTTATTTTAAGCTCATTTTCAACGTCTTATTGGATGAAAAGTAAAAAGTGAGACTGTCTTCATCTCTCCCGGTTACCTCTAATAGCCTATAAAAACATCAGAGTTTCTTTAAGGTTAAACATGAGAATAGAGGCATTTTAATTATTAATTCAGACAGTACACCTCTTAACATTCATCCCTTCTAAAGAGCAGATGCCAGTCTTCTATAACACAAATTTTTAGTGAAGGTCTTGCATCAGATTTTGTATCAAATTCAAAGGACTCGACTGAATATAGACACATTGCCACGAAGCCCTCCTTTCTCTGTGAAATTACTAGTTATGTAACATAGAAAACTACTTGGATAAGGTCAGTATATTCAATAAGCTTACTGCTTTCAAATGGTTTCACCAGAGAACTATTAAAAGGGTCTGAAATTACATGTCACGAACTGCAGACAGTATGAAAAATTGGACGCAGCTTCTGGGTCAGAAAAGTGGAGCTGTGGTTGCAAAATGATATCTAGTTGTATAGAAATCTTTGTGGACATGGCCCTCACGCCGTGTCCACCTGTGTAAACCCTTTGCTGAAAAGTTTATGGGCTCAGTTGATTATTTTGGGGTTATTCCGAATGAAACATTAAGTCAGTTTGTACATTTTAGTGAAAATCTCGTGGGCCTCACCCATTCTTATATTTTTTTACTAAAAAATGCAAAAGAAAGTGTTGTATTGAAAATTTTATGCAAAAAACATAGACAGCACAGGCAGTTGGTTATAAATTGCTAATGCTACCTTAGTGTTAAGGTCTGTGTACGACCCACATGCCACTCTGAGACAAACTTCAATCAGTCTAGTATATTTAGGTCAGTGTAATGAGTAATATCACAAACTGACCACCACCTACTAACAGTTTTAATTCACATTTTATATAAAGAAATACATAAGGCAGCACGGTGGCACGGTGGTTAGCACTGTTTCCGCACAGCACGAAGGTCTTGAGTTCAATTCCACCATCAGGCCAGGGTCTTTCTGTGTGGAGTTTGCATGTTCTGCCCTGAAAAAGGATAAGCGGAAGCGAATGGATGGAAAAATACATTTATATACCTACCTACTTCAAACATGTACCTGCAGTGCCTCCACAGCCCACCAGGGGGCTCCAGCTGCAGCTCACAATCCGATTGTTCAGTCTGACGTCACTAGCCGTGTCTGGGTCTAAACTCCGCTGCAGGTCCATATCAAACGATCACTATGGCATTACTGAGAGTTGAAAAACTGTCTAAAGTCTTTCATCTTTAATAAAATGATCAGCGTTCTGCTCTACCAGGTGTAACAATTGAGTTTAACATCCAGGCATCCATGCATGACATTTAACGGAGTTAGAAGTTAGCAGGAAGTTAGCTCGCTAGCTTCTATCTAAATACAATATAGCATGTCCTGACTGCGGGGTTTTGGAAACAAATTAAAACGACAGCTCTGTTATCACTTCCAACATAAATGAAGACAGAAAACTAAACAGCAGTGACGTTTGTAGGGTTACTGAAGTTGGGCTAGCTGGTAATGATTTGCTACGTGACCGCTAGCGACACAGCTATGTTAGCATAATAAAAACAAGCTAACTTTTTTTCCACTCGATAAAAGTTAACGTGAGTGTTCTCGGTGGTCAGGAACAAATGTAATCGCATGGCAGGATGCTGTAAAAGGACCAAACTTCAGCCAGGAGAACAACTGAGATAATCCATCCACAATACGAGGTTAGTCATTCATATACTGCTGCATGGGCTGGGCTGTAGTTACATCCTAAGGTTTTAAAAACTGAGCTTAAATAAATGATTAGTGGTAATAAAAGCAGAGGGAGGTCAACAGGGATAACTGACTGTTTTAGGAGCTTTTTGAGATCAAATAGAAGAAAATACATAACATTAAACATGTTAACAACACAAAAGCCATATTAAACGCAGACTACTTTAGACCCGGAAGTAGGATTCGTCGCGTCATCACTGAACAACCGGATAGCATCGATAATACAGTTGACCTACAGTGTACTCATTGAAACGTGTTTTTGATAAGTAGTTAGCCGATGAGTGTGTGGGTTCACAGCCAGATCTGCTTCTCGCTTGTGACATCTGGTTCTAAATCACCAAGACGGCGGTGACAGAAACGCTCCACTGGGTCACATCACATGCCACCAACAAACATGGCGGAGAAGTGGGGATGTTGAATTTTAGATGAGCCTGTTGTGTCCATATTACCGGAGTCACTAACCATGTATTTATTGTTGACAAGATTTTGAAAAGGACACTCACGGGTGAGCAAAAATGTAGCTACAGCAAGCAGGCGGTTACACTTGAACTGTAGTAAAAGGCTAGCCGACTATAACCAAAGGTCGAAATCAGTGTGAAAGTAGCCACCAAAACCCCACAAAGTCAGAACATTTTTGTACCCTTCCGGTAAAACCACACCCTGCTTTACACTTGAACAGAATCAGACTAGTTGTTTTCCAGCTACCACTCTTTATGCTAGGTTAATGGCTGCAGGCTGTTTTGGGGGTCAAACTAGTAAACAGATCCATTTCCGAGACTTCTCTCATCAGGACTCCATCATTATGACCAACAACTCCCCTGGCTGTCAGTGGCTCTAAATTTGTTGCCTCTGACCGTTGACCTTGAGTAGAATTGCGGGCACCGAGGGTCACTCGTCATACACAATCTGGTCTCACCGCTGTGAGCGCAACAGCGGGTAATATACACCACAGATAATCCAGCTCTTTCTTGGCCGGCGTTGAAACAAACTGTTGAAGCACGCCGCAGTGTGCCATGCTGCAAACTTCCCTGACTCATTTGACTGAAAGGACTTTGACAGACTTCTGGCTCTGGGATGGGAAATGATGGACATCTTGCCTTTTATAAACCAGCAGCTGTCATGTTTTTTGGTGCCACAAGAGCACATTTAATGACATCAGAAATCCTGAAAAACACGGAAAAGCGCCGCCGCTCTGTTTTACTGTTCAATTAAGCAGAGCAGAGATATCCTAGACTTGTTGCACGCAGAGTCAGAGGTAAATCATTTAGAGAGAAAACAAAGCAATAAATCACTTCTGCCTGACAATAAACTAAACAAAACAGAAGCCGCCCGCGGGTGAAAATGAACTTAAGAGGTGGATTGCTTGATATTAAGAGGAAGGTGAAAACGAGTCAGTGAGCTCTGAGATGTTGATTGACTAAAATTTATTGATGGATTAATTCAAAAGTTCTTATAAGAAAAAATAAGCCAGGAAAGCACACAAACACACACACACACACTGTGCCATATCAGCATGCACATCTGCAATCACACATGTAAATATAGTTCTATGAGTTATTAATTCCCCTAAAATTACACACAAACACACACACCCAGCAGCTTGTTGGAGGGTATTGGCTGATATAATGTGTGCAGTCAGTCCCCCCCACCCCCTGTTTTTGGCAGATGTGGCCGTAAGCTGGAGCAGCCTGAGCACCACCAGCACCACCAGCACCACAGGCATCAACAGCAGCACACGTACACCCTAGAGGCCCGGTGGCTCGCAGCTCTCTGGGAAGCAGGAGCTCTCAGGGAGCTCAGGACTGATCGCTCTCACGCTGCCAGCTGGAATCTCTCTCATCTTCTCGTTTCCTCGTCATCTTGTTGCTGAGAAGTCTGGCTGCACGCGCGCAAGATAATAAGATGCTGATTTCAGCGTTACACTTTACAGGTTTTTATGTGCTGAAGCACTACTTTGCATAATTCCTATATGCTGCAGGATAATGTGCCACTGGTTCCCTGCAGCTACACACTATCCCTACATCTATTAGTTATGCAACCACATACAGTAGAGTATTTTATGCACGGCCCCCTTGTACTTATGTTCATGAGGTTACATAGGTTTCCAGCTTCAAAAGGGGGGGAGCGACGCTGCCACAGTCTGGCAGTCAGAAATATTTTTGCGCAACATGCAATCTCCCCTCCTCCCCTTTTAGCTCCTTCACTTTAAATTAGAGTCATATCACAGGCATGGGAGCTCTCGTCTTCAACCTCTGTCTTCTCACCTCCCCTTTCTTCTCCTGCACTCTTTATCTCTCATTATCTCTCCATTAGTCTTTCACAGACACCTTTATTCCACCTGTAGGTGCGTGAGGATTTCTCTGTCTCCCGGCTGGTTTTCCTCTACTTTCCCCCGTGTCCTACATACAATGGGGCCCCTGCGGCAGGCTCCGTTCACCTTTAAATAACAAGCTGCTGGCTGACAGGCAGATGGTATAGTACTGTGCTTTCAGAGTGTAGCTGCTCATTAGAGCTTGGTACTCAGCATCATCTACAGCTAACCATCGTGACAGTCGGCACTTATAAATTAAGAGCCAAGTTATTTTCAGGCAGCCAGGAACAGGAAAACTTGAGTGAGAGTGTGACAGGAAGGTGTGAAAGAAAAGTGAAAGAGCAGACACATGCCACATGTTGCACCTCACTGCTGTATGCAGAATGATCTGCCTGGTTTGTGATGCATTAGTTTTTTATCTTAAAAAGAAGCAGACGTGCACATGAACCTTACAGACAAAGTGAGCATGCAATGACGGCAGTGGAAGGTGGCCAACAAAACCTAAAACCAAACATCTGAGAAGAAGTGCAGGTGCAATTTAAGAGGAAAAATTAACATTTCCAGCCTTGGCTTTAGAATCAAACTATCTGCATTTCAGAATAAAAGAATAAATACGGTGTCTTACCTCAGTGATAGCGTAAGTGTGAAACTCCTCATAAAAGAAAAAGAGGAAGAAGAGGGGATTCTGGTGTGAAGAGGAGAAGGAGACTAACAGGTGGCGGAGCAGGGAGCAGAGAGTAGGGAGAGAGCTGGAGAGAGAGAGGGAGAGCAGGGACGGAGCGAGCGCAGATTAAGATGAAAATGAGGAGCTGAGGGGAGAGAGGAGAGCGGCATGCTGGAGGAGGCAGAGGAGGAGGATGGAAGGAGTCAAGAGGATGAGAGAAAAAGAGAGAGAGGCAGGGGGCGAGTTATTCCTTGACAGTCTGCTACGCATGTGACCATTTCGCCTCACTCCCTCCTGCATCCCCCCACTGTCACACACACACACACTTGTTTTTGCCATTTAGGAGGAGACTGCTTTGAAATCTACACATTCCCCTTCAGAATTAAACCAACCTTTGAGAGTGAGGCTGATTATCCTTTTCTTTAATGCAATGAGCAAAACCAACATTGGATTATCCTGATGGATATTTACTAATGTGGAATAAAAACAAAGAAACAGAATCACTTTAGTTTTTCAATTTGTTCTTAACCCTTTAACTGAAACAGCACAGCTGTTTATATTTATGTTATACAGGATTTGATTGATTGAAGATACTGGAAAGTTGTGTGAGCTTAAGCCAGGAGATCGACATGATTTGATTTGTTATTAATTATAGCATAATTAGACATTTCACCTTCTCCTTTCCTCTTGAGGGGTTGCTTTTAATCACAATACATCTAATATTGAATATTGAACATCTAAAAATGAGATGTTTGTTCGATTTGTTGTAAACAGAAGCATGAAATTAAAAGAATGAAAAACAGCCTCGTTGTGACTAAGATGATTTCATCTTAGTTAACTTAAACTGTTGGCCATTTATCTACATTTTGGTGTTAAAATGATACTTGCAAATTTTGCTGAAGCATGGCTTAAGTTTGAACATTTGTTTTTGTTCTAGAATTATTGAAAGAATTTTTGTAAAACCAAAATAAAATAATTTCTTTGCACGATTTAAAACCACAATTAATGACATTATTCAAATTTTAAAAGAAGAAAAACGTTTTATTGCTATAGGTGGAGCAGTGTCATTCCATCAGGGCAAGCAAGACGAGCAGTGCTTGCCCTTTAAAAACGAGAGACATCAATTAAAACAGTCTCTGACATCTAACACAGTATTCTGTCATAAAGCTTCTTGCTTGATTCTGTCTTTTAAATGACTTCCACCTTGTGGCAGTTGGCTATTGTCTCTGGAAGCAGGTTGACTGCTTGACTGGGATCCCATTGAAATCTCTGTGGGCAAGCGATTTAATCTGGATGCCCGTTAACAATGACGGGCGCCAGCAGCTTTTTCTAGTTGCTTGCACATGGGCTTTGTGGATAATCCAGCGGGCTAGACCAGTGTCACCAAGCTGTGCCTGGCTTTACTTTCACTGCTCTGAGATCAGTTATTATATGCTGTTTGTAGAGCTAGTATTAGCAAGTAAACAAGCCCGCTTAACTGTTCATTTAAACCGATAAGTTTTCTCTTACTTACCACCTTGCCCAAAATGTGTGATATGTATAGAGGAGTTAGTGTGGTGTGACGTGAAAAAGGTCTTGAATGATAACTCCTGCATATTAGCACAGAAAGCCTTGATAATGGAGGGGGCCTGGGTTGTCTGGGTTTTAAAAAAACAGTAACGTTAGCAGCACTTTCACAATAGCATATCTAATATGTTACGGTTCGGCGTTGGCAGTGTATTGTTTTAGGCGTTTTGTTTTGGCGTGACTGTTATGTGTTTATCCAGTTGTATTAAGTCACCACCTTAAATTTTCCTGAATATTTTTTGAATCCCCCGTAGATATTAATGATTAACTGTGTCACACATGGTTTAATTCACCTGTCATCATCTCTGCTTGCCTTTCTACAAAATTCACCACATGCCACTGAGGTGAAATAATGTACCGGAGCTGGAGAGGTCAGTACCTTCTAGCTAAATCTGGTAAAATTGACCAAAAGTAAAAGTTGTGCTCACCGACTGCATCAGCCTTTCCAAACTAATGTTTGAAAAAACATGAGGAATTAGTCATGATGGAAAAATTAATCAACTGAGCAGTCCTCCCTCTGCTTTTAGTCTTTAAGCTAATGCCCTGTATTTGACGCACAAGCATGAGAGTGCTTTTCATCTTTTCAGTCCTGTAAAGAAAAAAAAACCCACATTTCCCTTTCCTGCAAAGTTTAAATATTCTTTCAACATGTTATCCACCTAACTTCACCCTAACTTAACCCCAAGACTGAGAATTTTTCCTTGTGAGGAAATTGTTTGTCTCCCTATGCGCGTATGAGATTGGTTATTATGTCCTAATAATGTCAGCCGCACAGATACACAAACTGTGTTAGTTTTCAGGGGGAATACATCTAATTAAACCTTTCCATCTTTCTGTTCGTGTTAATTCCAAGCCAATACACTGCACCCGAATCCAACTGTCGCTCTCTCAACCACACACACAACCACACACACACACATACAGTCTGTTCAGTCTCTGTTGCTCTGTATAATTAAGCTAGTAGCTCTTGAGTCTGTGATGGACAAGGGGAAACATGCTATTTCCCCCTTGCGTCAGCTGAGAGGGCAAAATTGGTGTTCTCTCTGTCTCTTTTTATCTGACTTGCCCCCCTCTTTCTTTGTCTCTTCCTTTCAGATTTAAGTCCACTCTCTGAAACTCATTGTCTATCAAAAAGAGGAGCCAGAAAACTGTCACACAGCACGGGATGATGAATAGACGTACTGGCGGGGTTTTTTTGTTTGTTGTTGTTGCAATCTTCAAAAACTGCTTGATGTCTTTATTCAGTGGTGTTCATCATGTCTTCTTTCTTACTTCTTACTTCTTACTCCCCCTTAAGTTATCTCTCTCTCTTGCTTTCTGTCATGCAAACAATCACACCCACTCTCGTATATGGTCGCACCATAAAATTGATGCCATGCAACAGACATGCGTGAACGCGTGAACGCACGCCAAAAATTGGCACAGCAGCCTCTAGAAAGGATGACTCCCACTCCTTCATGCAACACACATTTACGCAATCGCACACACAGCACACACATTTCGAGCCAACACTCTACTGATGTTGTGAAAAGACCCTTCAGTCCTTAAATTTGGGATTTATTCCACTTCCCTCCCCTCTTTCTCCTCTCCGTCCTTATCTCCACTCTCCTGCCTGCTGTTTATGAGAACAGAAAATCTCCTCATTAGAAATGCATAGTCGTTACATGCTTTCTCCACACCAGTTATGGCAGGGACGGGTGCTAGTGCTTCAGTGAAACCAGCTGACCGCAACAGAGTCCACAAAGGCTCTGACAAGAACAAATGACATCAGCAAACCAGTTGGTCTTGTTGCACATTGATGACAAACACTGACAGGAATAGTTTCTCTAACCAATTATAAAGTTCCTGATACAGTACACGGTGGTTATTAAAAAAGAAAATTGATACGGAGTACTACAAGACACTTCTTTTATCGCTTTACCCCTTAAAAGCCTACTAGCCTTGAAGCTGTTTTCTGAACTTTGTGGTTTCTGTCATATTTCTGGCTTCTTACATAACAAAATGCTGGTGTGTGCGTGTCAGATGTTAGCGAGGGTGGTCTCTACTTGTGCAGAATACCCTTGAAAAAACCTGGAAACTATTCTAATGGGTGTCTTCACTTATATACTAAGATTTCAAAGCTATAGGTGAATTATGTTTACAGGGGAGGTCATCAAATTCGTCTTAATGTGGGAAAGGATTAAAAAAACTCCATACGTAACCGCTCTTTGCAAAAGTACCTATCCTGGTTTTAAAAGTGCTCGTTAATACTTTGATTCAGTTTCTTATAGTGGCACATACTCGCTATGTTTTCTGTGCATCCTACATAATCTGCAAACAGCAGATCAGTGCTAATTTAAAATGGTAATTATTAGGGGTGCAACGATACTCGTATCGATATTGAACCGTTCGATACAGTGCTTTCGGTTCG